ATGATGCAGACTAATTCTAAGAACCTATGTGCGTCTCATCGTCACTGGCCGTAGTGGCAATGATAAGGAGGCATAAAAAATATAAGTAATACTGGAAAAAATATCAAAGTTTTAATATTTTTATTTAAAAAGTATCTTTCGTTATTAAACTCGATGAACTGATTTACATACATTTATGAAAATTTAATACAATTAAATCAATTGAATATGAACTGTACATTTATCGTATCTTATAGTAAAATAAGTTACATAATCATTAAATTAAAAATGAATTCGTTTTAGAAATGTTATTGAATACCAGGATTTTTAGAATACTGAAGCCTTTATAACTTTTTATCATTCGGGGTTTTAACCATACAGTAAATCATAAATTAATCTCTTATAAATTTGTTTGTTTTTTTTTCATTTTCATATTTTAGATTAAACTTCTTTTGGAATATAAATGCTACGTGGAAAAACGGTGGTTTAGGGTGCACGCAAGAGAAAAAGGAAGTTTATGCTTAACTATCTTTTATTCTCCGTATTGGCGAGAGAAGATATCCATAGCTCATATATCGTATGTTAGGTGTGTATAATACATAAATTAACAATCTAGGATAATCGAGTAAAAATCCTTAAGATCCTATAGGAAAAAAAATTAATGTCAGTTATTCCTTTAGTTTTGTACACGATAACAAAATTTCTTTCAATTTTATTATTAAAATACTAACTTATAATAAAGATTATTCTCCATACTAAATAAATGGAGCTCAAAATCAATTTTGTTAGCAAAAGCATGATAAAATAATACGTTCGCGAGTAGGAAAAAAAGCGTCACCTAAAAGGCTACACAGAAGCGAGATTGAATGAATAATGATGAGGCAGCAGTGCGTTTCAATTAAGCGCGGGTGTGGTTTTGAATTTTCTATACTTTTTAAAAAAGCACGGCAACACGAAACCCACAATTGTACACGGGCAGTATGACAGTAGCAGCGAAGAACTAAAATAAAAGTCTGTTTCGTGCCATTATACGAAACCAATTTCCTTTTCCGAGCTCACGCTCAAAGACAATAATCATAGTAATAACACGAGATAATAGCGCTCTCTCTACCCCAACGTCTCCCTCGTTATCTCTTCTAAATTTAACGATTGCGAAAATTGCGCAACTTTTCATTAGCCAGCACGCTAATGCGGCATATTTTTCCTGCTTAAAGGAAATTAATGGTGTATTTATATATATATATACATCCACTACTTTGAAAACTCGCTTTCCGGGCATTTTCCGAGAGCGCGAGAGGATACGCGGCGCGAACGACTCCAGTCCTTGATACTTACACTTCTCCGTCTTCCTGTTTCCCTTTCAGCGGAAATTCAAACTTTTACGCGATTGTTCCGCCTAGATCTCTAAGCTACTTGGAAAGTTACTTTTGCATAATTTTTTTTTTTTTTTTTTTTAATCCATTACTCTTCCTCCCAAAACCTTCGGATTGGGGAAGTGTATAAATAAAATTTCACGTACAGTCCAACTAGTTACAAGTGTTTATTTCATTCGCTTCTTCTCTCTCTCTTTCTCTCTCTCTCTCTCTTTTAATCCACATTTATCAATCAAACCTAATGACTCATTTTATAATTACATACTTTTGCAGTATAACTAACACATCTTCTATTCCGTGCTCATGTTTATATTACATCGGTGGTACAGTGTCCATTACTGTCATGGTATTACAAATATACAAGTTTAAATCGGTTTTTCGGTTTTCTGGAGGTGTTGGAACAGTATAAACTAGTTATCAAAGTTCTCTCTCATAATCTCTCAACAGAATATTTTTTTTATATTCAACACAAAGTTTTTATAGAACGAAAGAGAAAGAGAGTGAGGGAGAGTAACAGAACGCAAAACGTAGCGAATAGACAATTTTAATTGAAATAAGAGAAAAAAATTTTTTTTTCAATTTCATTTTCAATCTGCAATTTTTCAATGAATGACTTTTATGACTTTAATACTTACACTTATTGCAGTGTCGGCACGAATAGTGAATTCGAACCAGCTAAGCTCGCAGGCAAGTATGGGCAACACTGAGTGCCAGCTTAAGTCGCGACGCAAGGCCGCCAAGATGTTACTGGCTGTCGTGTTGGTCTTCGCCATCTGCTGCCTCCCTGTGCATTTCTTTTCGATTTACAGGTGAGATTTTTTTCTGTTTTTCGTCATTCATTGAACATTTAAGGAGAATTGAGGCATATGACCCTATTGTTGTACTTTTAAGGCTTTGATTTAGCACAATTGATTAAATTCGGTCTGCAAACGCTTAAATTTTTTTAACCCATTGTTACATCGAGGCTGCGCTCGACGTACCTTTTATTTTCCTCTCCTCCTCTTCTTATCCTCCTCGTAAAGCCGTGTTTTCGTATCAAGCTAAATGACATACACTCACACATACACCAAGTATCGAAGCTAAGGCTTCGTGACACACACATAAGGAGAGACCGAGTAAGACAAAGAAGAAATAGTCTACATCTCCCTCCCTCCTTATGCGTCGACATCGCCTGATAAAAGCTAATAACTATTTTCTATCCTTTTCCTTCTCTGTTTCTTAAACATTCGTAAATAAGCCGACGCTTGAGCCAGGATGTTGATCCACACATCGGCCAGCGTCCATGCAACGTGACTTGACAACAGCATGCTATACTTCTACCGCCTTCTTTCTCTAACACTTACAGTACCCAGAGACGCCAAGCCGAAAAATAACGCGAACTGTAATACGACCTAACTTCGATAAGCAAGCACTGGGACCAGTATCGTTACTATACTATATTCTTTAGCAAGTAAGCGTCACCCCAAAACCAAAACAGCATATGTAAAGGAAGATGGAAAACATATAGGAAATCTTTCCCTCTCCCTGCCACGAGATGATGCAGACTAATTCTAAGAACGTATGTGCGTCTCGTCGTCTCTGGCCGTAGTGGCAATGATAAGGAGGCAAGATCTTCGGCTACATAAGCCCATGGCCTCCTGCACGAGCAGCTCAGTCTCAAAAAAATTCGTTCAATGGTCAGGCCAGCTTGGGTGTATACCTAGAGCAGTAGCCAGACAAAAGGCATACGACCTGGAGAACCCGGTCGATGCATTCAATGGTCAGGCCAGCTTGGTAAACCACCGAGAGCAGTAGCCAGACTAGAATACACGACCTGGAGAATCCGGTCGAAGTCTATTCGTGACCTGGAAAATCCGGTCCGCAGTTTCGATTTCAATTATATCCGACCACCCGGATCTTGCTTCGAGAACCACTTTTACCCCCTTTTTTCCTTTTAATAAAAGTAAGTAATAATATTTTCTTCAAACTTAATTATTGTATATCCCCCAATAGTTTTTCTCTTCGAGTAAAACCCACTATTGCGTGCCGTTTAATCCGGATATTAATGGCCAAGCAGGTGGTGAAAGAAAATTTTTAATTCAAAAAATAATAATAATCAAGCAATGCTAAGTTGTGTGCCGGTTGGTGAAAACGCCGATGGCCAAACAACTAGCCTCTGTTTAAAAAGTCAAGTACCGCTAAGTTGCGTGCCGGTTGATGTAAACGCCGATGGCCAAGCAACTAGCCCTTAAGTAAAAATCAAGTTGTGTGCCGGTTGGTGTAAATGCCGATGGCCAAGCAACTAGCCCTTAAGTAAAAATCAAGTTGTGTGCCGGTTGGTGTGAATGCCGATGGCCAAACAGCCAGCTCTTAGTTAGCCAACCCAATTTTTAAACTATACGTCGTACGTCGCTAGTAAAATACTGGCAACCAACGACTATAGACCCCTAAAAAGGAACCAACTTACCAACTCCAAATAAATGGCCAGTCCCCAGGCTATTGAGCGAAAGCTTAGGCCTAAATACAAAATTTACTCTTACGCCGTCTTCGACGTAACACCTTTATAACTTATTAAAATCATAGACAGGCGAGAAGATAAAACAGTCGTGATTTATCAATTGGTGATGTACATCTGTCAATGCAGGCATATGAGGAAATCTACAAAAAACATCCTGTTTTGGTCCCCTACTTTAAAATGAGCCCGTTTTCAAGGGTGTGCTTAAAAAAAATTTTTTTTATTGAAATGGGGGACAAAAACAGGATATTTTTTTGTGGATTTCCTTATGTATATTATGAGAAAAAGGAAGTTTAAGATTAACACCATATTAGTTTCAAAAATAATTAGATTTGTGGCATTAAATAATAAATAATTTGGTTATTTTAGATACAACTTACGTCATCAATTTTTTTTCAACATTTCCAGATTTTCAACGCCAGTGAAGGCAACGCCCTTGGCCAATATAATAAGCTGTCTCGTGCATTGGCTCTTTTACGCCAACAGCGCAATCAATCCACTCATCTACAATTTCATGAGCGGTAATAACTTGTATAATTTTCTCTTCTTGTAGGAGGTTTTTTAATTGGAAATGAAAATCATTTTACATTTTTTTACCATGCCGATAACTACAATTTTACAATTCACGTGTGATACGTACGCAAACGACGTCTCCTAATTAATCGGTTTCGTTATTTTCTTTTTTTTTCTGTCAAAAGCTGGTTTGAACAATAGCACGTTGCAGTGTTCACGTTACCTTCAACAGATAATGAGACTTAACAACGATAGAGAACAAGTGATACAATAGTTATTGTTTCTTTGGCCTTTATTCGGCTTTTTTTTAATTCTCGTTTATTGTTACCTTCTTGTACCTAACAAAATTTTTTTTTCTTCAACTTCATAGTTTTACTAATAAACTTCTTTATGATTCATTTATTTATTTTACAAGTTACAAATGCCTGTGGAGTGCGCTTTATTACAGAAATCATACAAAATTCAGCCACTGCTTATCTTTAAATACTTGCCACTTATAAGTATTACTTTGATACATTCGTTTTTTCTATTAATTTTGATGTCTAGATCAGTAAAACACTGGTATCCAGCCCATTTATGTAAAATTTATGTACCTAACATGTAATTAACTGATGTATTATTAAAAAAAAAGTTTTATGAAACAATGATGAATAAACAAAGTGCGCTCGAGTTGTGGAAATGATTCATTCGTTTAGGAACGCCATTATTTAAAAAATTTGTTCAAGGAGTCGTAGATACATTAGTGATAATGTTCCAAACTCCGGCTGCACGGTAACACTTCTCGCGTTTTTGGCAATGTACGTGGTGGCTTCGAACTTTAAATCACCGATTCCGTACTTCTCGGCCAATCTAATGCATTTGATGACGTTGTCGGTACTCATGTTCACGTAAAGATTAAATTTACGCAATGAAACCAACCTGTCGATCCGATACTTCGCAGCCGCGTCGAGGAAATTATAGGACACTTCGTCCAAATCGTTCACCTCTCCCGTGTACACATATCGTATCATTTTACTTGCAGTTTCAAAATCAACGTCATCCATCTCGACTATGCTCATTTTTTTTCCTTCCCCGTCGTTTTTGATCTTTTCGGCCAACACTGGGCTCTGGGCCGCCAATATGCACTTGTGCGCGTTGATCGTTTTATCATTAACTTTGATGATCGTATCGTAAAAGTCCTTGCTATCGAAAAGTTTTTCAAAACCATACCGATTACACTGTTTATCCAGCGTCGGGGAATTAACAAAACTACACAATGTCCCCAACTTGTTAACATCCCTTTTGTTGTTCAAATCACTTTGGTTGATCGAACTGTTATTGACGATTATCGTACAATGGATGATAACGAAATTGATGGAAAAGCCCTTTTGTTCGTGATAAACGTCATGCAATATGAATTATTTGCATGTAATTGCACAGTTTCGATCGCCCTCGAAGTGAAACACGTCGTAATGTAATAATGAGCACGTTGGCTCGTCGTCGTTTGCAATCGCGTCTTTCGCAAATCCAATTATTACGCGACTGATCCCCGAATCGGTTTTTTTTTCTTACTTGACAAGATAATATGTACTCCCTTTTGTTCCATGACGAGGGTAACAACATTAATTGCAGTTCTTTGAGCTTCGGGTCAACGTTGAAGTTAAACGTTGGCGATGTAAGCTTAAAGTTTTTACTCGTTAATTGCTTGAAGTTTGAAATTTTCCAAAAATAGAATTGATCCTTTACATTTGTGATTTCTCCTGCAGTGTGATCGTCGTTTTTTAACTGAGTGTCGGTCATCTTGAAGTATTATAAATCGACCAAAGCTGGATGTACTAGCCAAATGCCAAAAGACTACTCCGTTACTTACCGTACACAATTGGAAAAATTTCATCAGCCAGTAGATTGCGCCTTCAAACAATTGTTATCTAGAATACAAAAGTTTTTTAAATTATCACATGAACTGACAAATTATTTTTTAGCAAGATATACATCCTCAAAAATTTTTTCATTGTATACACATATTCGCATATTTTCATGAGAATATGTGCGTATTTCCTACAATCAAGATTTTTGGTAAAATGAATGCAAGTTGCTGTAAGTACATATATTGTATGAGTGGAAACGAAAATACAAAGTGTTCTTAGACTACTTTATTTAATTGTACTATTCGTAGTGCTCACTTTCGCTTTTTCTTTTTTTCCACGGGTCCCAATTTTGATTAAAACATTGGATTTTTGTTTTTAAGACCAAGGACATATAAATTTAATTAAACATATTTTGGAATTAAGTATTTACAAAAATACTTATAGTTGCTCATTTTCGTGTCAATGATATAGGTTCAATTAAAGGTTTTTTTCAAACTACATTATTATAACCTCCTAATAATTTGAAAAAGCTATCATCAAAAGTTTACAAACGAAGGAATGAGATTTTCTTTGCATTGGTTTTTTTGATAATTTGTAATAAATTATCTATACTAACAACTTGTTTTTGTATTTGAAATCGTAAAAAAATTAAAAGCGAACGATCCGAAAAGACATGATTACATACTCCGAGTCTTCACTCATATTGCAGTTCCAGTGAGAAAAAAATGGCAATAAACTTGAATTTTATACCCAAAACTTATGCATTTTTTTATAAATCCGGTAAAATTTCTAATTTTTTTGGTAACATTGACAACAAGTTTTAACCCATACTTTATACGTCTGTGTTTCCAAGCATATTCAATAAAACACTTAAATGTCGGCTCCTGGTGTTTGCGAACAATTGTATTCTCATTCACTCGTATATACACGCAAACAAGTAATAGATTGAAGACGTGAAACGATCACACTTTGAGAAAGCAAAAAAAAAAAAAAAAATCTCGCATCTCTTTCCCTCGACTACAGTAAAAGGTATACCTTTTACTATAGTCTTACGAAAAATAAGTTTGAAAAAAGCTGTTGTTACACTCACACAGGAAAATTCCGCAAAGAGTTCAAACGCACGTTCGCCAATTGCTGCTCGCCAACGGGCAACCACAACCGATCGGTTTACCGGGTGGCGGGCAACGTCTCCAAGAACCTCCAGTCCGTGAGAAGCACCAGCTGCAACAATTCCATGCACACCAGGTTCGCCCTGACGATATTCAGCAACAACAACAACACGAGCAACAACAATTTGCGACACAGTACCGAGATCGTCCCGCTGAGCGGGATATGCAACAGTCCCAATGGGATGCAGCAGCAGTCGGTGGGCAATCACTCGGTTGTGACGTATCAGTAAACACGTTGGATATGGGCTGCTACCCGGTGCGTGGCTAGCCCCGATTGCCTGGAAAGGTTCGTGTGACTTGGGCTATCAATTTATTTATATCTACGTTTTCTTTTTTTTTTTTTTTTTTTTTTTTTTTTTCAAGCTCATACTTTATGAAATTCCGTAGTCCATGTCATGGTATCGGAGCTTATCATTGTCTTTGGCATTGATAAAAACGCAAGTGCTGATAAAAGAATTTTTTTTCTAAATGGACATTTTATTTACTGGCATATGTTGCTATCAGCGGTACATTTTTATTTTGTCCCTTTCAATTGTAGTAAAACTGAAGTGAGCTATATTTTACGCGATAATGGAATTTTTTCGAGCATCATCCGATTGATCTTTCGAGGATACGATTGTTTATTTTGTCGTTAATTTTTTGCGATTCCTTCTTTCTTTTACAAGAGCTTGTACTTAATATTTGTCGGATAAAACGAAACATCGTGGGAGTAGCATGATAATTTGAAAATAAATAAAAGAAGTTATACATTAGTACGCATAAATATAATTAAAGAAATCATACTAAAATAAAAAACAAACAAAATATAAAAGTAAAATTGAGGAGTAAATGTAGAAAAAATTATAATTGAGACAAGTAAAAAGGAAAAAAAAATTAATGGATGTGATGCTAGCTGTCACATATTAGTATGTAATATGTACACAGCACCAAACAGAAAACATGATATTCTCAAAGGTTGTCTCTATAGCAAGATTTTTATAAATGCACAGGGGAGGTACGTATGTGCAAATATGCATACATTATAAAGTCATTCGACTAAAATAAAAAATAAAAATAACTTGACGCATCTTTAGATGTTCAAATTATTTTTTGTCAAAAAAACTACTTTAGTTTTGTACATATACGCCTCAAAGATTCTTTTTTTCATTATTTTCAAGCGTGCAAATTCACTGTAACTTGTATAAGGCAAAACAGGGTAACTGATATGAAATTTTCAGCTCCCGAGAACAAACAAATACTGATAAACTATTTAAAAAATTTGGTGTTCAGAAGGATTTGCATGACAAGGGCACTAAACTATTTGTACTATGTATATGAAATCACAACATCATCTAATGATTAATTTAAAAAAATAAACACGATTTTTTTCAGATAATGCAAGCTTTGGTATGATTATTATTGATTCGACAAGAAATTCCATGACCATACGTGCAGATCCTGGCGGACCATCTTCGTACTTCAAGGAGTCGTAACGATCTGTTAAACAAAAGTCAATGTGTATAGTGTTATTATAAGTTGAGCGATATTTCTTAAAACATCAACTAAATTATCACTTAAATGTGTAAATGTGTAAAAATTAATGGTTAGATCTTAAAAACAAGAATAATATCTTTTGTTCCATTTCAACTACAAACACCGTAGGACCATGTCATTGAAAAATCTTAATGAATTTATAAGTTTTATTTTCTAAAGAAAATTATACAAAGACAAAAGGGTTTGAAACANAGAAATTTTTTCAAGGGTACAATAAAAATATTGTTGTACAGGTTTATGATGAACAAATAAAATTTGTGAATTAACGGACACTTTAGTATAATGTTTAACTTGTTCAAGTTCAACAAAAAAAAAATTATAGCTCCACAAAATAATTGAATACATTACGTTAACTTAAGTTACGGTAAAAAATGAAAAAGTAGTTTATTAAAAACGAAGAATTCTCTCAAAGAAAAAAAAAACCTGTAAAATCATTTGCATTTTTTGAGAGGCATTCAATTTTCTTTTTCTACAAACAAAATCATGGAAAAATCAACATATTTTTATATGATTTTGTCGAGGGTGGCGGTGTCGGAGGAGCCTGATAGGGGTAGTAATCACTAGTTTGAAAGTGTAGACAGTTTACGATATTCAATTAAATTTTTATTTATTATTTACAATATACATTTTGAAATATTGATGTTACTTTTTTTCAATTTTTACTGCCAAAGACACGAATTATAGTAAACGTAAAGGAAAGATCATTCCTTATCATATAAAAAGAAAAGAAAAATAACGCTTCAGTAAAAATAAATAAAGAAAAGATAAGCAGCGTTTACATGTATAAATACGGATACATAAGTATCAGTATTAAACAAAAGTGCTATAATTTATAATAATTCAGTTCTTCTTTATAATAGCTAGTACATAATCTTTTGGATGCGCATATTTCGTTTTTTTTACTATATCGCATAATCATTGCTATTATTCAAAATAATAAACTACAAAATATAAAATAATCTTAGATAATATTTCGTTTTTTTCTCATCATCAAACTGTAACTATGGTTGTTAGTGCATAGCATTTATGTCATACATTATAATACATACATAACTTGTGTATTACATCATACCTACATGCACACATGCGACGTATGCTTCGGAGGTAATTTTCGAACAGTAATAATAGTAAAGAAAGAAGGAGTAACATAATATAATGTGGTAATGAAAAATTTACAGCTTTGATGATTATATTATAAAACGCAGTTTGCTTTTCACTTTATTGCTCGATTAGCAATGGTAAACTCAATTTTTTTTAACTAGAACCACCATTTACGTGTATTTATGCCTCATAAACATCTGTTTCCTTGCTTGAAAGTAGATGACAATAAAAAAACAAGATTTTTAATTTGTATCTTTTGTTATATCATTACCTTTACAACTACTTTTTAATTTTTCTTGTAAATTTCTTTTGGTATAACATTTTTTAATATTTCACGCGCGGTTCGATAATTTCTCAGCTTCCTAGACATTCGAAAATTTTAGTACCATGAAAAAGTATAAATTTATTGCAAAGCGTACACTAAGGAGCCTATCCACCTTGCACCCATATATAAAATACTAAGTGCAGTATAACAAAGCTCTTTCTTCAGAGTGAATCAATTTTTTTCACTATTGACATACAAAGCATGTTTTTTTGTGGGATGCAAATGAGTTAGAATCATAGAATTTGTACCAAAAACCAACTGTTTCGTATAATAATGTAATTTTTAATTTATATTGGGTAATATTTATTGTAAAGACAAAAGATTCTGAAAAAATCAATGAATGAAAAAGTAGACTGACGACTATTAGGTATACTTATGTTGTGCTATTTTTTCTTTTCGCAAAATTGTATTTTCTCATTTTCCGCATAATCAATGTATTAATTTGAATTAATTAATTACTTAATGTAAGATAATCTTGTAAAGCATTTTATTCGTATGTTTTATTTTTAATACATAAGTATAATCGTCAGAGCATAAAAAAGCGTCCATATGATGTGTATATTAATATACCTAAAAATCATAGATGTTACAATCCGCTTCAACATTTTTCATGCAATCGATTTACATTTACTGCTACCGACCGAAACTTGGAGCACATATTAGTGCTTTTAGTAAATAAATGTTACATTATATATGGCAACACGATATAAAGATATATAGTGTCAAAAAGAGTTATAATCTGCAGTTTTTATCACTGTAGCTCTCTGCAGTATTTATTGCAGAAAAAAATTTCAAACTCACATCATACATCAAATAACCACAAACTTGCAGTAGCAAAAAAAATGTACCAACACTTTGATGTTATAAAAATTAAATTAAAGTAAAGTTTAATGTTTGCTGTTGACAAACACCTAATTATCTTGAAAACAACTTTACGTAAGATTTTGCTATCAATTTGCGTTACACATATAATTAATAATTAAACATCAAGTACCGTATCTGTAAAAAGGAGTACTCGGTTTTATGACAATACTGTACAACAGGTTCATTAACCGATGACATAAGTTAGTCATGATTTCGCCACCCTTTGGTCATTGAGAAACAATCTATACGTTACTTACACCACAGCATACTATCCACACCTAGATCTGCCTTCCAACGGAAAAAAAGGTATAAGTGACGTGAGAGATGAACTGAGAAAATCAAGGAAAACTAAGTGTCTTCAAAAATCAATGGTAATTTGAGTATTGAACCGCGGAAAAACTGTTTTGTATATAAATATGGTATAATTATTCTATTTTCCGCAAAAGAAAAACGATTTTTCGATGGGAACTATGAAAATCTGCACTTCCCCTTCTAACTCGGCGCAATTTCCTCGTAAAAAAGGGTAAGAGCAAAAATACAGCTTCTTCCATGGGGCTCACCCCCTTTTTCTACTTTGGAATCGAAGGCAGTGCTCATCGACGTTAAATTATTACTAAATAACGTTATAAGATATTTAATTTGTAGATATGCTATTAGACGCAGAATTTTCTGAAGAATCGATTGGTGTAAATAACTCATTTTCGACAAAAATGTCACTTATACCTTTTTTCCGTTAGACGGCAGAGATGCTCTCAATGCATGTAGATGATGTGAGTTTCTAAGATGTTTATAGCATAGTGATAATAAGTAAAAGAGCAACGTAATTCAGTATAATAATGGATGTCATAAAGTACNTTCTTGCTCCTTTCGCTGCTCTTCAATCAGTTGCTGTTCCTTTAATTTCTGCTCTTTTAATTCTTGCTCCTTTCGCTGCTCTTCAATCAGTTGCTGCTCCTTCAACTTTTGTTCTTTTAGCTCTTGCTCCTTTGGCTGCTCTTCAATCAGTTGCTGTTCTTTAAACTTTTGTTCTTTTATCAGCTGTTCTTTTAACTCTTGCTCCTTTCGCTGCTGTTCAATCAGTTGCTGTTCCTTCAATTTTTGTTCTTTTATCTGCTGTTCTTTTAACTCTTGCTCCTTTTGCTGCTGTTGTATCAAATGTTGTTCTTTTAAACGCTGCTCTTTTTGCTGTTGCTCTTTCAGTTCCTGATCTTTTTGTTTCTTTTCTTTCAGTTCCTGCTCTTTTTGTTGCTGCTCTTTGTGCCGTTGTTCTCGGAGGTATTGCTCTTGCAATGATTGCTCTTTCAGTTCTTGCTCCTTTTGTCGCTCTCCTTCAAATTGATGGTTTTGTGGCTGTCGCTCTTCCAATTCCTTCTGTTCTTCCAATGTCTGTTCTTCAAGCTGCTGCTGCTCCTTTTTCTGCTGTTCTCTCAACCTCAGCTCCTTTTCCTGCTGTTCTCTCAGCTGCAGCTCTTTTTGCTGCAGTTCTTTCAGCTGTTGCTCCTTTAATTGCTGCTCTTTAATTTGTTGTTCCCTCAACTGTTGCTCCCTCTGTTTTTGCTGCAACAACAGCTCTTGTTGCTGCTCTTGAATAAGCTGTTGCTGGTGTTGCTGAAGCTGCTGCTGGACCAGTTGTTCTTGCACCAGCTGCTGTTGAGCCATTTGTTGCTGCTCCTGATGCTGCTGCTCGGGCGTCTGCAGCGGGTGCGGTACACTTCGACCGACTCGAGTACGGCTGATCTGGTTTTGCGGAGCGGAATCTGGTGGCGGGAGAATTGGTATTGCAGCCTTTGGTCGCCTAACAGGAACAGGTTGCTGCTGCTGTTGCTGCTGCTGCTGCGCTGGACTATAATATGTGCAGCCTTGAGGCTGGAAGAGTGGCACCTCCTGCGGCGGCGGTGGCCCAGGCTGTTTATTAAAATCAGTTATTTCGTGAATAAACCCTTGGATTTGTTTTTCTTTTTTTCCAATATGCTATTGGACTAATCACTCATTCAAGGAGGTTCTTGCTAACAAATGAAAATAGCACAGTGCTCGAGTCAACTAACCTGTACAGCAGCTGGATTGTAACCCTGATAATTGGGCTGGAAAATGGGTCCATTGGGACCAGGTACGTAATTGATTATGCCAGGTGGAGCTTGTTGAGACGCTAAAAACTGAGGAGGTGGTACGAGGTATGGCGGCGGTGGCGGTGGAACGTAGCCAGCTGGTTGGCCAGCAGGCGGGCCCATGGGGATGACAGGCTGTGGAGCCAAAGGTGGAGGCGGTGGTCCACCTGCACCTGGTGGTGGCTGTTCATAAGGCCCTGGTGGTGGTGGTGCCTGATACCCTGGAGAAAGAGATTACGATTGTGAGGGTTTTTTCAAAAGAATAATTGAATGATGAATTTTTCAAGACGTGCATGGGATGGAACACATTATTGATGATAATCGTTCAGGCAGATGCGAAAACGAATTTTATATCGCCTTTGGAAGCAGCAGAAGCACACACATTGTTTTTATTGGACACGAGACAAAGAGACAAAAGAATGTACTCGTAGAACATAACATGACATCTGCAGAACAAATTTTTGGTTCATGAGCTCATTGACTCGAAATCTTAAATTTATTCATACGTCTCTCATGAAACAAAATTTTGTGCATTCCAATAATTTTATCTAAAGCTGTTTTTTAATTACCATAAATAATTTATAAACACTTGAAAGTATTTTTGTAAAAATACTTTTCCATATGCAAATTTATACAAATATTTGTGGAACCACTGGACTCAAGAACTTATTCAGCCATCCATTTACTAAACCATAACGCATGCAAAAAAAACAGCAAACAACACAAAAATTATCTTTTTTGCTTTCCAGTGCTTCTTACCTTGAGATTCTAAAACTGCTCTTGAACTTCCGGCTAAAGGGTACATGTGGATATAGAAGGCACAATTTTAAAGATTTATATAAAAAAGATGAAAATAAAGATTTACTAGCTGAACATAAGCATCAAGCTTGAGTAGTTATTTAATTGTCTACTTGTAATGTTTCGTAATTATAATTAAAAAAGTGGCAAATATTTTGCTAATTAAAAGAAATTTCAAGTGTTTTTACTCGTAATATGTTTAACATTAAAAGTGTCAAAGTATATTAGTGAAAAACGAATTTCGTTAATATCGATGGTATACGTGAAAGTATCGAGGAATAGAGAGTGCAACGACAAAACTTACAAAAAAAAAAAAAAAAAGTGAAACAGAGTGATAAAGTAAGATTTACCTTGAGGAGGCGGATAATAAGTGTGCTGAGGCGGAGGAGCAGTATGCGGTGGCTGATAATTCTGCTGGGGAGGAGGAGGGTTGGGCGGTCCCTCGACGATTGGCGCTCTCTGGCGTAGGCTCGAGTAGCGCTTCGGTCTGTTGGTCGCGTGATCTTGCTGTAGCTGTTGGGGCAGTGGTTGCTGTGGAGGCTGCTGCTGTTGCTGGGGCAGAGGTGCCTGTTGAGGTATCGGTGGAGGCGGATGGCTTGTTTGCATGCGCGATGGAACTGCCGTCGAGTGCTGTTGACCGGATGGCTGTGCATAAAAGTGCTCTGAAAATGAAAAATAATACATGCTTCGTAAAATTTTTTTTTTTTTTTTCTTGTATAAAGTGTTTCTAGACTGAAATGAATTTCAACGAAATTTCAAATTTCGCCCCAACTCTGAATCAAATTATCTGATATACTGTGAAGTAATTGGCAGACTTATAAATCATGAAATAAGGGTGACAGGCGACCGCGATAAATGCATCTTAAAATATCGACAAGCTAAGCTACTGTTGCGTATTCGAACGGATAAAACAGGGGTATAATAATGATAAATAATAAAACGCACAAATACTCACTGTTCTGTCTTGCAGCATGATGATACAACGGGCCTTCTACTGGCATACTCATGTGTTGTTTCACATCGTTTAAAGCCGATTCTTGTTCGATGTTGCTCCTCCTATTATCAGCAGGCAAAAGTCCAGGTCCACGGCCCTTTGGCTTGGGCTCTATAACCCTACTGCCGGCAACGTTGTTATTTGCGTTGGCTTTGAAACCACGTCCACGGCTCTTACTGGCTGCAAGACTCACGGATTCTTGAACTTGGGGTGATTTTTTGGTTATTTCACGCGGAGTTTGCTTTACAATCACTATTTTCTCAGCATCGCTGGAAGTTGCACTTGTTTCGTTTGATTTGATATTTTGAATGTAAGGAATAGCGTTGGGCTCCTTCTTCCAGACTAAATTATTTCGTTCGTTTGGAGCTTGATTTTCGTTCCTGAAAACCGGTTGAAAATTCAGTTGTAAATTAAATGTTTGGAATGATTTAGGGTTAGGATATTTAAACCTTGCCCTACTTACGCTTGACTGTTAGTAAATTGTTTAGTTTTTGTCATTTGGGTTTCAATCTGTTGTAGTGCAGGGAAGTTCTGACTTTTGTTTGTGGGTGTTTTGTTTTTGTTACTGTACCAGGCAGATGTGATGACAGGCTGATCTTCATTCATAGTCGGAGAATCCTTTTCATTTGGATTCAACGAAGGGAACTCCTCACCAGTACGATTACTTTTTCTATAATTAGGTTTGTGAATAGGCACGTTTCCAGAAACTTTACCATACGCATCTTCATCCTCCCAATTGCGCGTGTACTTATTTGGGCCACGACTGCAGGCAAAAAAAAATATCAAAGTAAAGGTAACAAACGTATACGTGAAAAATTTGAAAAAGCAAACAAACAATTTAAAACTGCAACTGACCCATATCTTCGTCGTCTGCGAGCTCTAGGAGGACCTTCTTCGTTCCTAATGTCATAGCCATACACTGCTATCAGTTCGGCGTGGCTCTTTGGAGCCTGCTCTTCGTCGTTGTATCTGTCATGATCCCACCTGTCTTCCTTTTCTTTCCACACCTTCTTATCTTTGACTTCCCTTTCGGTTGGTGGCTCTGCAGGTTCTTCGCTGGGCTCGTCCGCAGTTCTGTCATCGTGCTCGTAGAACGTACCCCTTTTAGGAATGTACTGTGGATTTCTGCGGTCTTCATCGTCATCCAGCTTTTTTTGAGGTTTTTCCTCTTCTTGGCCATCACCACTTTCTCGCTGAGCTTTATCTTGAGATTCAGTGTCAGAGTCACTGCCTGCACTATCGTACTCTGAATCATGCTGGTCTTCGGTGTGTTTGATACTCTGTAAACAAAAAAACCGTCAACTCCATTATAGAATCAATGTATCTATACTATTTTCCAGGATCAGATATAAAACAAATGTCGTGTGAAAAAATCTTCATAGGTATTAGGATACCAGTTAATCATTCACAAGAGATCGAGCATTGAAAACAGTATAACGTGGATCGAGGGAAAATAAAGTATGCCATACACAATCAGCTTGAGAACTCGGAGCAACATAAATTCATCAATCAAAAGTAGATCAGGTCAAAGCGCTTTTTGGGTCAAACGAGAGTAACAACTACCAAAAAATTATGCTTGTGCACTCTCATACGTTTTCCCCCCTAAACTTGTAGAAAAACTCGTGGTAAGTGTCCTGTCATTATTCACAACTTTCTTATGCAATACTTATAGTATTTTCTTTAGTCATGATGATACACTTAATTTCGGCATATCAACACTCGCGCGTGCTCTCGCTCTGATTTCTTACTCTCCACAGTAAACAAAGCAGAGGTATGTATAAGAAAGTATAGCAAAGGAGTTAAAACCAAAAGTGGCCAAGTAGAAAAAGCAACGCAAAGTAGGTACTAAGAGTAACCAGTTGCAATGATAACAAACAAAAACAAAGCTATTGATAAAAGCCTGACAGGCAAACAAACTGATCCAACACTCCACCATAGATAGGTAATCTTGCGAGTTCCGACTCATTGGACAAGTAGGTACTTAAACTTATTGAATTGAAAATTATTGTTGCATCAGGTACTTCGAAAAACGTGTCTTTTTATCATATTCCACGTAAATAGTACCAACAGCAACGAGAACCATCAACAAACCCAAAGACAAATCATGGGACTTTGTGTACGTATCGAGGAGGGAGAAAGTGAACCTGGAGAGGACGGGGTTACTAACCTGGGTCGCCTCTTTCGTTGAGTTGAGCTCGTCGTACGAGTCGGAGAGGTCGTCCGAGCCCCCGGACTGCTTCCTACGGCGCCGATGGGCGGACATTTTACTATCCTCGTTTTGCTCTCGCTTTTAACTCTTCAGCTCCCCAATCTATTAATTTTCGCTCAATTACCTTGCAAAATCAGATTTGCTACCCTGGAGTTGTGTTAATTACGGCTACTTACGCTGAACTGAACGTGAGAAAAATAAAAAATGTGCGATCTAGGCGAGGGTGTTCTGTACCATACAACGATACAACTGTACGACAGCAAATAAACTCTCAAGAATCATACGACTCACCAGTCTCACCACTCTCACACGACTGCATAATCCAACATATGCAAGTTAGGTTGTAGCAACTTAGCACCGGTCCGAGACCGAGACTGCCGGGACGCGTCAAAGTGACCGTCACGTGGCCAATGTTTTTTTTTCATAACACATTGACACACTACCTACTTTTAATAATTTTAATAATTTAATTTCACACGAATGCTATGAATAAAAACTAATGACAGTCATGGCTGCATCTATATTGTCGAAAAATATATTTAATCTTTACGATTTTGACGAATAGTTACTTCATTTAAGTTACCAAAATCGTGAATATTGTACTTTGGATTTGAGGGATATTCTGCCGTGTGGCGGCGCTCGTGAGGGCATGGGGGTAAAAAGCGCCAAAGTCAAACTAAATTTAATTTCTAATTTTTTACATATAAGAGACAGATACAGAGTATGAAAAAAGACTGCAATATACAAAAAAAATTTTTTAAAAATAGTTATAATCGTTCTATTCACATATATAGCAAGAGTTGGCACATGTAAATATAACCTGCTCATTTAATGTGAAATCACATTTGTTTGTATGGTTTACACTTTGTACCTATGAATAATAAAATTAGTGTCTTGAAAAAATCCAAAGTTTAATTGAGTGAAAATGTGAGGAAAATGTTGTGTGAATGAATGCGAAAATTTAGTGAATAGTGGAGGGCATTTGTTTCCTAAAAATGAAAATAAACTGAAAGTTTGGATGAAGCAGCTTAAATTTTCGCATTGGACGCCAGGCAAATGGAGTAAAATTTGCAGCTCACATTTTAGTCCTGATGATTTTGATGTTATTGCTACAAGTAAGAGTATAATTAAAAAATAGAAAAATCATAATCTTGATAATGCATTTTAATTGCAGGCAATGGTACAATAAAAAAATGTTTAAAGCCCACAGCAGTACCATTTTACAGTGAAAAAGAAAAAATAAAGGAAGAGAAAAAAAGAATGCAAAAGTTAAACGGTTTATTGGCATTCAAGTCTCTGTAGTTTTTAGGATCAGGGGTAATTAATGTAAATTCTTCTTTAATTTCAGGTGTAGCCTTCATACATATTTTGTCGTAATCAATGAGCCTATAAAAAATTTATAATGATGAACCATCATCTTTCATAAACATTAAATACGCGGCAAACCTTTGCACTAAATCAGCCTTCTTCCCAGTTGTCTTTGCACTTCTTTTTTTCAGCTCCAGAATTAATTGTTTATTGGTCCATTTTCCGCAGTTTTTACTACTACAGTTATCCATTGTGTAATGATAAAAATTATGAAAAATGGGGGACGGTGAAAGAAGCATCAAAAAGCTCACATAACTTGTATTGAATATTTAACAAATTACTGGTACTTCATCTAATGAGTAGGTTATATTTACATGTGCCAACTCTTGTTATACATGTCAATAGAACGATTATAACTATTTTTTTTAAATTATTTTTGTATATTGCAGTCTTTTTTCATACTCTGTATCTGTCTCTCATATGTAAAAAATTAGAAATTAAATTTAGTTTGACTTTGGCGCTTTTTACCCCCATGCCCTCACGAGCGCCGCCACACGGCAGAATATCCCTCATTGGCGCGGCAGCAATCGCTGATGAGAAGCAGAAACTGCTGAAGTCCAGAAGTGAGGTTTTTGCGTCAAAAGTTCTGCGTAAACGAAACAGCCAATCAAAGAAATAGGATTTGGTACCAAAAGTTGAAAATTGTTCCCCTTTTTTTTCAGTCAAAATGTCGAGATTTTGTAAAAAGTATACTTATATTATTGTTATTCGTAGCCGATAATTGTAGCAATCACATCAAAATTCGGATGGTATCTATACTGAGCAACTGAAATTTGCCAGTTTGTTTGCTATAGGCAAGTGAGCAATAAAATCTCTAGGTAGGTATTGGACTCGGTGCAGAATTTACATGAGAATAGACATTGTATTCACATTGTTTTGTTTACTTTTTTTCACAGTAATTGATCAATTTTTTAATACTTTCTAACGATTAATTAAACAGAGTGTTGTGATGGTAAGGTAAGATAGTTCTTAGAAGAAAAAAGTAATATAAAAAATATCATTAAATGCTGTGATGGTGCGTGGGGGAACTGTTTTTGACGCAAAATCCTCATTCCGGAATTCCGCAGCTCTAAATTCTACAGAGTACAGAGTGAGATCGCGGCCCTTAGGTGTAAGGTGTTTGTACATAAACACACCTTCCATAATCCATCGGGTGCTTATCAACAAATTGTAAAGAAAATTAGAAGCCGAGACTGACGTACTTATCATAGGCTTCAAGTCAAATATGTGAAACGTTTTCCAAGTAACTGCACAGCAGAAAGAAAACAAGCTGCCACGGCTCCAAAATGAAGACGTGTCCATCAAAGATGTTTCGGCTGACGTGTCTAGCCCTGCTTCTAGTCAATTTGTTTGCTCTTGGTTTTGGCATCGATGCCAAGGCCTTTGACGATAATGTCCTCTTCAAATTCAACTGGCCCGGCTCTAGTGGTGCCGACCTACTTGTAAGTTGATTTGTTTTTTCACCAGGAACTCGTTCGCTTGGCGACACACATGCTTTTTGACGTTGAGGCTACCTCGGTCTCTTACTACCTTTTTTAACATTATTGTTCAAACGATCATTCAGATTTTCTACTCTAGAGGGTTAAATGTTTAGAACAGTTGATTATGACACTTGGTGCATTTCAATCCCATCTTTTTCCAGGAGTCCCAAGCAAACGCAGAACTGTACACCATAACATCGCCAAACAAGGAAAAGTATCAATGCTTGATACCTAATCTTACGGACAAGGAAATTGCTAGTGATCAAGCGTACACTGGAAAAAATCCAATAGAACTCCTGTCTGTGATGTTTGGACCTAGTGGTTGCTCTTATAAGGTGATAACACTTTGAATTGGATTTGAATTAGCAACGATGATCAATCAAAGCATCCATATAACTTACTATTTACAGCTGGATTCATACTGGACGTATGAGCTTTGCCATGGAAGACACGTCATCCAGTATCACGAAGAAAGGGATGTGAAAAATGTTGAAAAACAAAAATATGAACTTGGTGCAATCAACCCGATTCGATTAAAGGCTCTATCAGCCATGTACGATGAATTGGCAAGCGATCCAAACAGGAAAGCCAAAATTCCTTCCAGAAAAATCGATGGAGTCAACATGACCTACGTTGAGATGGAAATGATAGGTGGAACGGTTTGTGATATTAACAGTAAGCCAAGGTCCGTCAAAGTTATTTACGTATGTCATCAGCACGAAAAAATTGAAGTCCATTCCATAAAGGAGGTGGCATCGTGTGAATACGAAGCCATTGTTAAAACACCGTGGCTGTGCGAGCACCCAGATTACAGGCCGCAAGATACCAAGGAAAATAAAATAATTTGTAAGCCCTTAGGTAACGCTCCGAGAAAGCCAAGAGCATTGATGGCACTGGAAGCTGAGAGAACGAAAATGAAATACCAGAAAGTTTCGGTAATTTTGTTGAACGCGTGTTGACGTTTTTTTAAGATTTATTTTTAGTTTCAGTTTTGGACATCACACCTGATGAAAACACTCGAGTAGCTTGATTTTATTAATTTTTTTATTTAATTCCTTAATAGTAGCATGCATGTTGTTACGTTGTGCTTTTTTTACTCTCCCACTAATCAGTGGCTCAAAAGCATATAGAAATTTTTTTTCGTAATTCAAAATTGTAGGCTTATTTGTTTTATATTAGTAAAAATTATGCAAGAATGTGTGCTGATTATTTTTTCCTCAGGAATCGAAGCGACAAAAAGTTATGGCCATCTACCATATAGATAAGGATGGTCAGGTTAGAGTATTTTTTACATTTATAATTCAAGTCAATTGCTTCTTTCTGTCTTTATTAAAATTTAACAGATAAATGGTCTGCTTTCATACTAACAACTGACAGGGTAATAACTAAGGCTGGCATTCTTGTTTTCATGACTAATGAACTTTCCAGTTTTCTCCCTCACTTGCTTTTCAAATCGTATTCTTAAATTTTGTGCTTACCAAATCCATAATCATCCATCATTAAAATTGCACTTAACTGTCGTACTTTTATTTTTTTGATTTTTTTTTTTTTTTTTAATTACACCATATCATTTAATTGTTAACGTTTAAGCAGCAATGCTTTCACCCCCAAAAAAATGAATAGTAATATCTACAACGTTCCAGGATGGGCACTCTCAGCTGAGAATCGAAATTCATCCTGTTGACGTGACTGGCCGACCTTTTTCTGCGGAAAATTCGTTGAGCTACATTAACCATGGGAGTAACGTGTTGAAAAGTAACACCTTGGAAAATTTCCTGAATGGTGATAATTGCTTACAAGGAGTACGTACGATTTAAAAAACATGCCTTGAAATTTTGAAAAATTGTTTTTCAATTAAAAAAAAAAATTATTTTTTTCAGGGAAGAGGGTGGTGGAGATTTGAATTCTGTTACGGGCGTTCGGTTACCCAGTACCACGTCGAGTCTGATGGCACGAAGATTATTATAAATCTAGGTGAATTCGATAAAGATAAACACAAGAAATGGATCGAAGCTAATCCAGAGAAAAAACCAAAACCTGCGGAACAGAGGAAACACGTGTCGCATTTGTACAGTCAAGGATCGATGTGCGATGAAACCAAAAAGCCACGACAAACTGAGGTAACGTTACCATTTCAAATGAAAAATAACTACGTTTTCGCTTGGAATGGTGAAAATGCAACTTTTTTTTTCTAGGTAAAATTGAAATGCGTGAAAAATCGAATCGGCAGTCCGTACAGCGTATCGATGTACTTGGAAGAACACAAGACTTGTGAATACGAACTGGAGGTCGAATCACGGCTACTTTGCGACATCTTGGAATACGCGGACGATACGTACGGCATAATCAATAACGAAAAGGGTCTTATTAACGTGGACAAATTAACGTCGAATTTGCGCGTCAAGGAAGACGGGGACAAGATAGCTCGAGACGGAGACGCATTGTAACTTTTGAACCGGCGTGTAAATACATAAAGAGCGTTTTTCTACTACTGAAAATTTTTACGAAGTCGCACGATAATTTAGGATGAAAACGTACTATACCCAAACGAGCGTGGCTGTTGTAAATATAACACTAATTTTTTCACGAGTTTATTAGTGTGTGCATTGTGACGTTTGAACTTGAAACTTCCGAGTTTTAAATACTTGTTCCCAAAGTTTAGATAAAGACGTTGTTGTAAGAGAATGGCAAAATAAAATATTTAAGTTACACAAACGAATAAAAGTACTACTATTTATTTAGTGCTATCATGTTATTCCATACGGTACATACTTTGTTGTTTTTTCGGTGTTTCAGTTTTTTATTTTTTATATTAAAAACAAATCGCGTTTTGCTTAACCATTACACCAGTGCACTGATAGCACGCGAAACATCATAAAGCGTAAAATATCCATTTAATCTAACTTTCCTTAATGAATCTAAAAACTCGACGAGACTACTGTCCAATGTTCAATCCAACGCCGACGCTGATGTTGTGCTTGGCGTGATCCATAACAGCGCTGAGCAGCAGAGACCCTTCGAGTATCGGATGCAGCCTCTTCTCGAACACCGCGCCGACCCGCCAATTTGTGTCAACGAATCCTCTGAGCACCACTTCGGCCATCGGCGCGTCGACTCGATAAACCAGCCTCGACTTGGACTGCCCAGCCACAAAGTTCTCTTGGTGCTCGACCCCCATCTGCAAGTGCTGGCTCTGCTTGTGGTGGTAGCAAACTCTCACTCCAGCCTGTCCGACCGTCGTGGACAGAGTACGGAACCCGGTGCTGTACCGATACGCCAGCGCCCAGTTGGTCCGCCTACTGCCCGGGTTCTCCGAGCCGTGGTTGTGGGCGAGCTCGACACCGAGCGTCATCCTCGGGCTGGCCGCCTGCAAGTACTGCAAAACAAGGACGCCTTGCTGCTTGGCGACAACGGGGTTCACCAGAGTGACGCCCACCGTGCAGTCGTCCGTTCTGTACTCGACCGTCGACCGGATGCACTCGTACCGGCCGCCCTTGATCTTGGCCGCCAGCTTGAGCCTGCACCTGCAGCCGAGGGTGTGCGCGAAGTTGGCCGTCACGTCGCCGTTCGGCCTCATGTCCCCGTACAGCTGTGGGTACCGCTCTCTGGGCCCGACCCTCTTCGTCCCAACGTAAGAGGCCCCGAACCTGTATCCCTGCTCGCGGTCCTCTTCTCGGACCTGGTCCGCGATGCACGACCCCTTGGGGCACATGGCGAGCACGTGGGTGACGAAAAAGTGCTTGCTCAGGTTCTTCTTGCATGTCAGGCGCGCGCCCTCGAAGAGCCGTGACTCGAGATGGTCGAACTTTTTGTGGATCTCCTCGAAAGTGCCGGGGTTGCCGGGCTTGTAGCCTTCCGGGCAGGGCACGCAGCCCGGAGGATAGTTTTGATAGTCGTGGGACAAATTCTCCAGCGTCGAGTACGCGACTCCCATCTCGTTCGAGCCTCACGTGGGGCGCATTTTGTATTTACGAACGGACTCGGCTGGCGGCTTACTTGGGACGATTTTTATCGCGTACTTGTCGCTGGTGTCTACCTTCGTTTGGCAGTGCAATATTAGTTTTGGTTAAGTAAAAAAGTGTCGCACGTCGTGCACCGTGTGCGCTATGAACTTTGGTACGAATGGCTGTTGCACATACACTTGCCCCATTTTCGAATTTGAATATATTTCATTAACTTGCCTATCAGTTTTACTATAAAAACAATCATTTTTACAGAAATCGCCAACTCGGAGGCATGACTAATTGTTACTCAAACTTTGCAGTGGCAGTATACCATCTGTTTAATTTTACTTTTGTCATATACAATAAACCTCAATTGCACAACTTTATCATCAGAACGAGCCGTTTTTTTTTTCATTTCAACGTACTTATATTGTTTTGATCATTTTTGCCACAAATAACCAGATTATTAAAAGTCTTTAGTTTGTCCCTACGAACAAAAACGCCTGTGCCATTTCGTTTTTTTTTTCGTTTCCTCGTTTCTGTAGACCGAGACACGCCCACATGCCATCGAAAAATTTTTGTGAGTGATTCGCATCGAGAGCATAAGTATATGCGTGTGGACTAATGACCGACACTGCCTCATATAGATTATACAAATACCTGGAGCTACCGCGTTAATTGATTTTTAATCGCGTTTCAATACTTGGGAACCGAAGCGATTTCCTTGCTCGATTGCGGGAAAGTGGATTTGAGTCGCTTCTGGTTATATCTCGCGGTTGAGACAGAAAGCTTGGAGGAATACATAATTATGTTGGCACGAATGAGGATGAGAACCCTGGTGTTTAACTGTCCACGTTTACAAACACCACGAGTACCAGGACCAATTTAATACCCTCCCCACTTCCCGTTCACGTTGAGGCAGAAAAGAGAAGACAAACGACCAACCCATCCAAGTAGAAAATGACCCAAACGTTGCTTACAACTTAGGGGATCGACAAATCGATGCACATGCATAATGGCACAATGGCACATTGTGCATTGATTGTGCCCCGGTACAGAGAGAGAGAGAGAAAGTATCTTGTCTTGTGTTGTTGGAATTTGTTTTTAAGTATTCGAGGTACCATTTTTTTTTTTACTACTCCAACGGCACAATACCTTATAATATACCTGGGCATCGCAAGGTCTTACTGTCAAAAGTCCATCGGACACTGTAAAAGCATTACTGTAATTCCATTTTATGCACAAAAAAATAATTATTAAAAAAAAAAAAATACCCCATAAAGTGGTGGAACGAGGTCTCGAACCCGAACCCTCCAGGGCGAAAAGCGTTTATATAGCTATACTGGGCGTACAATAGAGAAATAAAGAGATTATCGGCCAGTGCTGCCGCTATCCAACCTTAGCAGAGTCTGGAAGCTGAAATTCAGCTTAGCTGATTTATAGGTACCTACAAAAAATCTTACTTTTGCATTACTTATTTTATTGTGTGACTTTAGTTAATTTTCTGCCACGATGAAACATTTGATGGTTAAATTAAATCTTCTGTCCTGACTCTCTTTACAGGCAACGCCAGTTGCTATATTTTCGGACTTAAAATTCAAATCGGCCTGCGTCTATACGTTCCGCAAAACATTATCAGTTACCATATATGTAAGCCATTAAACAATTATGCAAAAGCGAGTTTTTATTTGTTGAACACGGCATCACCCAACTCTTGTTCCTACTCGAGAAGCTTCAAGTGTTCACCGCGATGTTAAAGGATGGGGAGACGGATGGCTCTGATGTCGGACAGCTTACTTTCGCAGCCTCTAAAATTCACCACCTCGTGCAAATTAACGTTGATGATTGGCACTTACTTTAGCTCGTGATAAGAGTGATTATGTACGATGTGTAGAGGTTTGTGTCCCCTGTATATTGTACAGAGAGTATAATAGAGTCTGGAGTGTCTGGAGGCCCTAAAATTTGTATGTACACATAAATATTATGTACTACACGTTGGTAACAGGGGTGATATATGGTTACCCCGTTACCGCTGCCACCGGTAACGTCGATCCGTCGTTAGGGCTCAACGTCCAACACACACCATATATAGGCTCGTCAGATCAGATGAGCTTGTTCCGGTGCCTGGCGCTCTCTAGGTTTTGCTTTGCAGCGTAGGTACCTACACGACCCTCGAAAACTTTGTTGAATCTCCGGCTGCCAGATGTCTTGGCTCTGGTTTTGCTCGATCCGCAAGTGGCGAAAAAAAGGTTCGGTTAGTATATAAGGCTGTTTAACACGTGTTACTTTCGGAAGTGTGTGCTAGTGATGGCACAGCTGAACATTGATCGCTACACGTAGTTTACTGGCAGATCTGCTCAGTGGGTGTTGTCACGTGGTCGCTTATAAAGTAGCTGGTGCACGACTCCCGATGCGCCTGGCAATGTCCGGACCAGTCGTCGAGGCTTAACCGCCTCGTGTGCTGGTGTTGAACGGGGCTTCAGTCCCATTCAACCTTGCCGGATACTTGCCTGGCCCGCACGGTCGAGTTTTCTCACGTCGCTCCTCGAACTTGCCGCGATTTCCAAATTTGGGGGGCAATCGAATAGGTCTGACGAGGTAAATTTAGTCGCTTCCATATATAAGGCACCGCAGTTACGCGGCACGCCATTTTTTGCCATTTTTTTTTTTTCTTTTTTTTTTTATCATTGCTTCAAACAAAAATATGTAGAATTTGTCGAGTATTGACAATAACTTTAACTGAGCAAGACTGATTGTTAAGGGTTAATGAATTGGGCAGTGCTTTTTTATCAAAAAATAAATAAACGTGACTCGTATATATTGCATACTGGTACATTTAACTTTATGTATAGCTTACAACGTTACAAGGCATCTCATCTATTTGTACAAACATCATAAATATCACACTCTCACATAACTACAAATAACTAATTTCTACGTTACGAAAAAGAAGAAGAAAAACTTTTTTTGCTCCCAAAAATAATAACATCGCGCACATAACAAGTGTTTGTATACAATAAATCAGCACTCAATGGCTCTCGTCGTCCTTCACCCCGCATTCGGTGTTTATTTCCGAAACCACTTGATTGAACAATGATTCCCAGCTCCAAACTTCGTCCGTCTCTCGCACCAGATGCTCCGAGTACAAGTTGTCCAGAAGAGGGCTCAAATTCACACCCTCGAAGGTTGAAAATTTTTTGTTCCTCACGAGATCGGTGTCTAATTCTTCGTATGCCGCTGCTGCTCTGTTTACTCCGACCCTGCGATTTTCCACACAATTTTGACGTTACGAATAAGTTCAAGACTGTTATTTTTTTACAAAACAAAATATTTGTTGACTAAATGCTGACGAAATTGAAAATTGTTCATTATAATGTCGAAACTTGCAAAAAATTTCTTTATAAAAATTTTTTATTACAACACATACATTGTTTTTACTACTCTTTGAGAAGTTTTTTAATTATTTCTTGGTGGGTTTCTTTTTTTGGCTATATACAAATCGGAAATGCAATTTAACACTTTATTCATTTCCAAAAATAGAATTTTCCTCAAACATGGATTTTTAACACTAATAGTCCAAAAAACATTGCGAAACCAGTCATAATTTTCAATGTAATTCATTATAATTTTTCTACTATTCCAGTAAAAATTATTTAATTAGGTATAAACTAACATTGGCGTCTAAAAACTGGTATAAGATATACTTACGAAGGAACTTTGGAAATTTCTAGTGCGTTGGTATCGTCAATGATTTCATCCAGATCTGGTATTATCGGAATATCTGAGAGAAAAAAGTTTACCACCTTATTTTATAAACTGCGGATACTAAAAATAAAAAATCTGAAAAAACGAGCTTTACCATCTTCTTTGGAGTTTTTTTTGTTATTCAGCAACCTCTCTCTGTAAAAAAAAAAAAATAAAATAACAGTCATTTTTCGTATTACACGGTAACATAATTATAATTAATCAAATTAGCCGAAACCAGTAGGTGTACTATTAACTCACTGTTCTATGGTGGAAATACTTCGGTGCCTGAGGAAAAAAGAAATTATTTTTCAATCATCACATGGGATTGTAGCAAAAACAATCGGTATGTTACGATGCCTTACTTGGCGCTTTTGAGATCGTCGCCCCAGCCGGTCTTGCGGCTCCGCGGTGGCACAGGTGGCGCGGGTGCCTTGATCGACTGCCTCCTCGAGGTCGCCGTTTCCGGGCCGTCGAGGGCCTCGTCCTCCGATTTTTCCACGTGCGTGACGTTTCCGTGACCAGCCCGTCTTCCCAATTTCGGGATCAACTGCAATCATTGGCACGATGGCGTTACGGGTTAACGAATAAAGTGTTCCAACTGAAAATTTTCACAACCGCTCGGCTGTGGTTTTTATTTTACTTCAATTGATAACGATTGGGTGCGTTGGCAAATTGTCCTTGTGCCTCTAACTTCTTATTATTACAATACAAGGAACAACATTATGGGTAATCAACATAAGACTGGGCAAGTGCCACTGTTCACTCATTTGTTGTTTTTTGGTTTTACGTTAAGATAATTTAGAGGAAAAACTTTAACTCTAACTTTTACAAGTGCCAAATGTATACTCGAGCCCCTTCAATTTTAGTTTCTGTAACTTCACCTGATCAAACGTCAAATTTAAGCTTTCTATAAAAATGTTGACCAAACTATTCAACGTATCGTTTACTGCAATAAAATTATATGTATAAAAAACACAATTAAGCGCTACGTTAACAGGTCGATCTAGCGAATCAATGGGGCCATGATATAATCATTATTCTGAGCTCTAAAAAACGTCCCAATCTCTATTATTCATCGCTGAAAGGACATAGATTTTTTCGACAAACTATGTATTATAATAGCAAATTTCGATCAAAAACCAATTAACTTCGCTATGTGCATGGCAAAAAAACGAAACGAAACCTAAGCAATTGAAATTATGTTACCATCATATAAAAAATAGGGAAAAACTCACGTGAAAAACCGACGAGCGTGCCTTGAATATGCCAGTCTCCTCCTTGGAAGTCATATTATTCACATCGTACCCATCTTATACCCACCAAAGAGGGGAAAAAAAAAAACATAAAAAGGTAAAAACCGAGTTAAAAATCCTCAGCAACAACGCGCGTCCCACCCTCGTCGTTTCATTGATACGTCACACAATACAACAAGTATAGTATCTACATCATAGTTACAGATACGAAATGGACTAAAGAATCAAACGAAGCGCATCGGAGTGTGGCTTAGGTACAACATAATATACAACAGACATGATGCATCGGTCGGTCGCACCGCAACTGTTGCCGAGGATTCTACCGCGTAAGTGTATACCCCCGACTGCAAAGCCAACAACACCGCATGCACGCACGAAGGAGCGGAGAGGAAGAAGAACCTGTTCTCTCACTCTCTGCGTCCGCTATTCCAAAGGACTCTCGGGAGTCCGCGAGTATAACGGTCACCTCTCTCTCGCGGACACCGTCGTGCTCCCTCTTATCCGCGGTGTATATGGGAGTTCCTTAACCTCCCCCCCCCCCCTTCCGCGGATGCATAAAGTGCGGGGCTAATCATCAGTGTACTCGTCGGTTACGAGGAGTATGATCGGTATCGGTTTTGGATGCACGCTTACCTATACTTACGTGTTTCTGCGAATTTGGGGAAAGTGTATTTTTTACCGGTTTTACCTACCTCTCGCAAACATGATATAGCATATTCATATGCATTAAGTGTGTTGAAGAAAAAAAAAAGAAAACATTTTTCGCTGAGCAAAAACGCGAGGATAAACTAGTTTTAGTAGTGTTACACATTGGAAGGACTATACATACGTATTTCATATGTAAAACTTGTATCATTGCAGGGGAGTACAAGTGTAAGTACTGCGAACTAGTTGCCCACTGATTTTCCGCCTTGTGTGGGCGCACGTGTCTATCAGAGCACAAATCGAGACAGGAAGCGCGCGAACCGATTAACATTTTTGCTCACTTTTTATTATTGGCTGCGATTATATACGATACAATATTGTGTTGGATAGCAGGGGTGCTCGGATGAACTGAGAAACTTTACGAAAGGCCGGGCTGTCGCGTCGAGGCTACTATTGGCATCGAAAATCAGTGGTTTGTAAGTATGTATATTGAAAAAACTCATTAGCTCGGCGACGTGAGGAGTGCACGCAGGGAGGGACGGTAATGACTTTGGCTCGAATGGCCTTTCAAAACATCAATGACGATTTATTTCAACCAATAGATTCCAAGCGCGACTTATCTGTATATACGTCGGAGGGAGGGAACGAGTATTCCTTGAACCATTAGATCGCCTCCATTTCTCTTTACAAAAACAAAAATGAAAGTTTTGACAACATTTTTTGTGTCTTTTGATACGTTTTTTCTGATTTTAACAATCGATTGATAAATTTCAAATATTATTAAATTAACTATCAACAGTTTATACATATGATAACTTATTGCTAAAAAGAGCAGCGAAACTCTCTCTTATGGATTACTAAGAGTCATGCAAGTACACTGCATGCACGACAACTCGATTTGTCGAGTGTTATAATTTGTATTTATACGTTGTGGTTTTATAATTTCATTCAAGTTTGAATTCGTACGTTTTTGTGATTTTACATTACTATTGTAGATAAGAAGCCTTACATATTTTCTAGATATAGAAGCATTGAACCCACGCGTGACAAGCTGCCGCCTCTACGCCTATTATAAGACTATTAAGTTATCTTATCATTATGTTTTATTTTGAAGAAAAAATATGATGGTAATAATAATAAAAATAATAATAATAATAATAATAATAATAACAAAAATAATAATAACAATAGTGAACTTATAATTGACATAACAGTAATATAAAAAGTGGATAATCTTTTTTCTTAAGGTACACATTTTACCATAAAGTTTTTCTTGTTCCACTAAGTGATTCAACAAAACGAAGAAAACATTACACAAGTATCGAATGATTTGTGCATCGGCACAAGCTTTTTTGAATTTTTTTTAACAACAAATTCTTCTACTCTCTTCCTTATAATTATAGATCCCATACATTTTACACAATGTCATTAAATGCATTTTAATTTAATTTTTTTTATCTCCAAAATACTTGGTTAATTGAAAAAAGATAAAGCTTAAAAAAAATAATAATAAATAAACGACTATTTAAACGACTTTAGTTGTAGTGAAAGGTGAAAAGTGTTTTAGAATTTGGAGTTCATATTTTTAAAAAACCATCTACCAAGACTCAAGTTTTATTAAAATTATTTTTCTCACTCTTCAAGATCTAAAAAAATGCATCCCAAAAGTAGAAAAGTAGGTATTAAAAACACAATCTATCCATTTTTACATACTACACAAAAATACATTGGGAAACACCAAAATTCAATTGAACTTCAATTGGATACGCAACAAAGTCAAAAAAAGATTTTTTTTTTTTTTTANACTTGCGCATGTACGCGTAGATATAGTGCGTAGGTGGAGCTCTTCATGTTGTCTATACACATTTTCAGGTTGACAGGTGCGGTCTGCGGTAGCGCATATATATATATACATATGTATGCGAGCGATTCCGTGGAACATGGTTTTTACTCAATGAATGGTATCGAATTGCCGATGGATTTTCTTATCTCTTATATTTTTTACAAAAAATATCTACTTTGGACTAGAATAAAATTATAGAAATTTGAATTATATTATAAATAATCTGTAACCGAATGTAAAAAAAAAAAAAAAAAAAAAACTACATAAAGTTTACACAAGATTTACCCCCCATGTAGCCAAAAAACGCACCTGCCCAACACATGCTATATATAGACACAAAAGACAACGCGCAGTGCACGCAAGTATCGCCCCAGGCAATGGAAGCGTATGTATATTTGTGAAGCGTGTGTATCCTCTCACCTGCTTCGATCTGACGTCGAGATCGTCCCAGTCTTCCATGCCCGCCCCTCGCCGACACTCTCCCTTGTTCCCTTCCTTCGCAGAATACGCAGTATACGGACAGAGGAAGCAAAAGAAAACGCGCAAAATGCCGAGCTGCAGCGGGGCTTTGTTTCGTTGCGCAAACTTTGTTCGCCCTCACTTTTTCCTTGCTTGTTTCCTCTCTCTCTCTCTCTTTTTCTCTTCGGCTTGTGTTTGCAAACGGTAGCCACGGTAACCGGGTATACGCTGCACCTGTCTTTGTTGTCGCTGCCGCCGCCGATTCTGTTGTCCTCGTCACCGGTGCGCGTCTCCTCCAGGACAATTCTCAATTTTGTTGCGGCTTTTGTAATTCCACTTGGGATAACACATTGGGTTATTTGACATTTTGTCAGTTGTTGCAAGTGGAATTTAAATAACGTTGTACACCACAATTTTTCTTTTCTTTTTTTTTCATTCAATTGTGACACAGTACCTACTGTGGCCTTTTATATAATATTACATAGGTGGTGCCATTCGCGGCATAACCCAAAATAGGAAGGTTTAAGTATTATTTCTTGAGTTTCATCCAATCCAAAATCCCCGTATGCCACATTCCAAGAGAAATTCCTAATAGGATTACAAATGTTACATTCAAGTGTGATACTGCCAGTGTGATTACATATTATTTGTCAGAGGGTATGTCCGGACAATGAAACTGAGCCCAACGGTGTAGCTAATACAAGTTCTGCCGATATAATATAGGGTCATTCAATCAGTTATAGCTTTTTTCTGCAATTGATCCAAGAAAATCTTGATTAGGGCTTCATGAGATCTCGAAAGTGATCTTGATATTGTGTTGTATTGTCTCAAATTTCAAGACAAGATCAAGACAAGATACAGCTTAAAATTTCAAGACAATACCAAGAGTAATTTCATTTAAAATCTTGGTTTTTCAATAATTCTTGAGCTTATACTTATTTAATCTTTATTTTACATTAAATGTGATCGAGGTTTAACGTAAAATGTTAAATAAAATACAAAATTTATTAAAATTTGACTACGTTTTAATAAAAAATGAGTACAAAATGTAAATATTGCCCAAAAATATTTCTAAATAATTTTAATACTACTACGATATAAGTTTTGTATAAAAGTATTTCCACAAATATCAAATTAAGTCGCCTTTCTGTTGCTTTATAACGAATACCTATGGCTTCAATGATTCAAAAATTGAATGAGAAGGTCTCAAGATAAGGCCAAGACAGTGCAAGACTTCATATGTCAAGACCTAGACAATAATTAATGTTTTCAAGATTTCTCAAGAACAATACAGTAATTGTCCAAATATTGTCTTGTCTCGACTCTCGTGAAGTCCTAAGATTCTTGATAATTTAGAAAGATTATTAGATGTATAGTACAAGCTCAAAATTTCACAATTTTATTTTCAGAGAATTATTATATGAAATTCAGGCTGATTTCGATGAGTTCTAATATTTATTTTTAATTTGTTCAATAATCTAAACAAGAGATTTATAATATTTTTCATAAACTAAAAACAACATAAATTGTTAACGATTATTATAATAAATAGTTCAATTTGTCTTTAATCCAGTCATTTGAGAGAAATTAATCATTTTCACGCATGAAAACCACAACACCATGAGAATTACCAACAAAAAGTGGTCTGGTTTCGATAGAGATTCTTCAACTTGAATTGTTGATGACATATCTCATGCAGTTTACTTGAAACTAGGTGTTAAGCTGTATACATTGATAACAATAAAAACAAAAATGTATCTCGCAGGTAATTAAAGGTGAATGGTAAAAAATATAAAAGTTATTTATAATAAATGTATTTTAAAAAACTCGTAAGATAGACATGTGTTCTTAAATATTTACAGTTAGAAATTCAACTGTAACTTAAAAAAAAAAAAAAAAATTTGACGATCGAGACAAAGAACATTTATTTTTTGTCTGTCGTCCGATTTTTAAATCATTAAGATATTGTTGTAATTATATAATAGAAAATTATGACCATCAAACTTTCCAAGTAAAATAGTATGTTTATAAACATTTGGATTTAATTTCTAGAACAAAATTCATCAACTGTCCAATCATAAGTCAACATTAACTGAAGATAATTCTATTGGGAGAAAAACAAACTTCATTAAAATAATTAAGAAAGTCCTCTAGTAATAATGTTCAAATGCCCCATACTTATAAAAATTTTTAAAATTCAATCCATGAAATCGATAAATCCATGGAAAGGTTGGATTACTTATCTAGATTTCATGAAAGACTGCAAACTTGTAACATCTTATGCTCATTTTTGTTGGTATACCTACAACGTACGCTGAGAGACAAAGTCCAATAGAAATAAAAGTGTCAAACCATGTCGTTTTTGGGCCATTCAACTTTGCAATGTGTACGAGGGGCTGCGCACTCTGAAGTCTTTTGGAGACTTCTGAAATCTTTGAAAGACTTAGAATGACTTAACGAAGTTTTTTTTAATGACTTCAAGTGTGCGCAGCCCCTCGAGCGTGTAATCTTGACGTGATATAAAAATAAATCATAGACTTGTTGCTTAAAATCATATCTAAATAACTCCTTTTCTACTTTATTTAATAAACACAAACTAGCTAAATTTTGAGATAAAAAATATAACATTCTTCCTGAGAACAATAAATAGTTACAAGCTGAAGATTTTTTGTTGCAGGTTCTCCATTATAATTTTTTCTAAATGATTTATTTATACTAATTACATCTAATTTAATTCGTAAGATAAAAATAAATCGTTTTTATGTTAATGATTTGTGCATCGGCACAAGCTTTTTTGAATTTTTTTTAACAACAAATTCTTCTACTCTCTTCCTTATAATTATAGATCCCATACATTTTACACAATGTCATTAAATGCATTTTAATTTAATTTTTTTTATCTCCAAAATACTTGGTTAATTGAAAAAAGATAAAGCTTAAAAAAAATAATAATAAATAAACGACTATTTAAACGACTTTAGTTGTAGTGAAAGGTGAAAAGTGTTTTAGAATTTGGAGTTCATATTTTTAAAAAACCATCTACCAAGACTCAAGTTTTATTAAAATTATTTTTCTCACTCTTCAAGATCTAAAAAAATGCATCCCAAAAGTAGAAAAGTAGGTATTAAAAACACAATCTATCCATTTTTACATACTACACAAAAATACATTGGGAAACACCAAAATTCAATTGAACTTCAATTGGATACGCAACAAAGTCAAAAAAAGANGATTTTACTCAAGTTATATTCCTAAAAACAAACATCAAATAAAAAAAAAAATAAAATAAATGGAAAAAAGGTATGACATAGAATAGATAAAATATGCGAATGTCCATAAGTAGAAGAGGGTGGAGGGAGTCCAGTAATTCTATGACGATTTCATTGCACCTATATCCAATTTCTCCGTTTCAAAAAAAATGCGCGAAACGCCAAGCTGCGGGGCTTTGTTGCGCAAACCTTTTGCTTGCTTGTTTCCTCTCTCTCTCTCTCTCTCTTTGGCTTGTGTTTGTAAACGGTAGCCACGGTAACCGTGTACTTGCGCATGTACGCGTAGATATAGTGCGTAGGTGGAGCTCTTCATGTTGTCTATACACATTTTCAGGTTGACAGGTGCGGTCTGCGGTAGCGCATATATATATATACATATGTATGCGAGCGATTCCGTGGAACATGGTTTTTACTCAATGAATGGTATCGAATTGCCGATGGATTTTCTTATCTCTTATATTTTTTACAAAAAATATCTACTTTGGACTAGAATAAAATTATAGAAATTTGAATTATATTATAAATAATCTGTAACGCATTTTTTAAGTTTTTAAGATTTAAAAAAAAAATTGTGTATTAAGATCTTGGGATAAAGTATTACTACTTTTTTTTTTGGTGATGTTTTCCTCAATCCCGTAATTGTTAAATAAGTGTGAGGATCAAGAAGTACAACTAATAATTAAAAAACTGAAAAAAGCGTTCTCGAAAAAGTTTTTGAAACGAATAAAAATATTATGATACCACTTATCATAGAACCGATAATATAATGTTCTGTCCCCATACATCTATACAAAAACCAAGTGGAAAATTGCAAATGTTTTAATAAGACTGAAAATCTTAAAAATGATTTGAAAATTGTGAAAAAATCACGCATGTCACAGGTATACTTTATGAAGTCCAAACATTTAAACAAATAAAATATTATGTATAGATATAGTGGAGTTTCAAAATATTGTACCGGGATGCTTTACACTCGTAAAAAAATTATGTGTCCGTGCAAACGTTTTATAAATTTTTTTTACAAATGTTAAATTAGTTTTTACTGGTTATTAGATGAACATAAATTATTTATAGTAGGTAGGTACCCATGATTGAATGCGAAAAAAAAACTTTTTTTTTCCTCGTTTCAAGGGACTTTAAATATTTTTCGTGGAACATCTGAGGAAAGGGTGTAGTTTTCCTTTAGCAGTGTCTCACGTTCGACCGAGAGTCCTTTCCTTCCTCCCTTTCCTCCGTACATTGTATATATAAATTACTTACTCCATATAGTGCGTGAGAATGGCGCACTCGTGGGACTTATACCTACCTCGAATGCAACGGGGAGCACTTACTTGAAAGAAAGGGAGGAAGAACGTCCAAGTATATATAATATACATAAGCGTAAAGTGTAGTTTGGACTCTTTGGGTGTTGGTATATGCGTGGCCCGTCGGATCTGCGAAATAATAATGAGTCACGCGCGTTCATTTCCTCCTTCCCGATTTCTGCAACATATCGCGCGATAAATCTTCACTAATTCATGTTCTGGACAATGCTGTACTTTTTTTGTGTTTTGGTACAATCCTCGATTTTCCTTAAAATTTACGATTCATTTTTACGAGGAAACTTAAGAAGAAGCGTCGTAAAAATCACTTTTTTTCAAAAATTCTTCAAAAAAAGTAACAAAAATTAGTTTAAAAACTAAAAAATTATCATTAAATACCTACAGCTCCTTGATTACGCTTACTTGTTCCAAATCACACGAAAAAAAATCTGTTAAAATTTATTTTGTTCAAGATCGTTATTTGCGTCTCCATCCTTTTCAAGATTGCATACAAAAAAAAAAAAAAAAAAAATTAAAATCAAAGTTATTTGTAATTTTTACATTTTTCATTAATGATTTTTTTTAGGTTTTCACGGAAAATATAAAATATTAGAGTTTATTTTTTTTTCGTGAATAATAATATTAATTTATGCATTAAAAACCAAAATCATATTTTTATCGTCAACTATACGTGAGATGATACCCCAGTTACCAAATAAAATTCACACACAATCATTATACTAAATATATATATATAATCCTCCACATGGTGAGTCACTCACTATTTACATACAACCTAAATATTTTTCTTGAATTTACTATAGTCACGCTGTATAAATATCACCCGAGCGGTGTATCAGCCCAAGCTTTCTCGCCGATTCACAGCCGATTAATCACCCAAAACCCATGTATTAATTGTTTTATTTTAGTCATTTGACGCGCTAAAAAATTTTTCAAGAGCTTAACGAACCCGCTGGTATTTTCTCTGGCCAATGTGTACATATATTATAATATACATACTAACACAACCACTTGTATTTATAACGAGGACTAGAATTCCAGCGAAACTCATGGGCGACATATTACGTATAGGTGGGCGTCACGCATAATACATAAAAATAGCTGTGAGGATTAATCTCGAGGAAAAAATCGAAAAATTATTTGGCTCGTTCGCTCATTTCAAGGATGCCAATGGTGCAGAGCGCTTATCATCTGCACCGCGATTTTCGTACTTTGGACTCGACAGAGATTGCGGCCGGGTAATTTTACGCAACTGTGCAAACCACCCGCCCATGTATGCTGGGAAAGTGGGTGCATAATTGTGAATGGAAGATCGTTTCTTTGATTAGTGCTTTGGATGGAAATCGACTCATTTTGAGGTGTATTGTAAGGTTGAGAGGGGAAGGGGGTAGAAAAATGAATCAACTCGCGTTGCTGCTCCTACGATATACGTGTGTCTTTATTTAAGGATACAGCTTCCTCGCCGCAATTTTTATAATTTGATCACTCGAAATTAAAGCTATGCAAGTTGGTCGTTTCGTCGATTATTTTTGTTCTGGTTTGAGATTCTTCAAACTGACGCAATTTCAGTAGAATAAAGAAAATAAAGATTGATATGTACACATTATTACATGCATACGTTTGAAGGTTTACCTTCATAATAGCATGTGGAGGTATTAAAAATAGATTTATGGCATACGTTTATACAAAAAATTATCAAGCTTAAAAATATAAGTTTTATCCATCTACTCCTAGAGTAATAAAAATATAACGTCTAAATAGCTCGCAATCGATGAAATTTACATTAATAAAAAAAAATTATTGTAAATAATTAATTCCTACAATCGTAAAGTTAAATTTGAACTAGTTGACAGCGCTAAAATACAAATCGCTATCATTGGCAATCATATATATACACGACATTGTAGATTTATAATTTAACACACAACAATCACACCGTGATCCGTTGAAGTAACCTTTCACGAGTTTAAAAATGACTAATGTAATTAAATTTTTTTTTTTTTTTACATTCGGAATGTTCCGTTTTACGCATTTCACTCCACACCCTTCATGACATATTTGTTCATTTTTCACCCAAGAAATGACAAAAAGTTTCCCCTCATCATTCGCGATTGCCCCAAAAAATCTTTCGTACAACTAAATATCACGTGAAAGATTGAGAAAACAGTGATTTTCTTTTTCTATGATGCATTATTTCAAAACACTAGTTTCCCTCCCCCCCCCCCCCAAAAAAAAGGGTGAGCTTGAATATAGGTACAAGTTTACCTACAGCCGCAGCTCACGACCGCCATATCCGTGTAGCTCTTCAGCACGACCCCGTCCCTTTCCTCGTCGTGGTAAAGAATCGAGATACTCGACAGGCTCACCGGCACGCAGCACGGCTCCCTCACGTCTTGCTCGGGGGCGAGGTTCATCTTGTTGATGATGCCCTGGAAATGAAAAGCCATTGTGATGCACGCCGTGGATTGCGTCCTTTGTAAAATAATTCGCCCCGAAGTGACATCAAGATATTATGACTTTTTGATTGGTTGATTCGATTTTGAGCAACGCAAAACTGTCAAAATTTCCAATCGATTTTGAAGTCACGAGAAAATTTCTTTTATGATTCACTTGAAAAGTTAAAAGTGTTCTGAAATTAATTGTGCGAAAAAAAATGTTTTTTAAAATATATATGTACCTTACAAATGGTAAATATATCTAATTTTGAGAAAATTAAAAAAAAGAAGAGTACACTGTTTAATAAATTATTTACAATTACTAGTGATGCAAACGAGGAGCGTTCCGATTTTGTCTCGTAAATTCAAAAAATTGCTTTCTCGGCACATTGAGAGAAAAAAAATAATAAAAATTATGGATGGAGCAGTAAAAATTTCTATGCAAGAAAATAAAATTTATTAACTGTTCCCACATCGAAATTTTTACTGTTACAAAGAATAACTTTTTCTTTTTTTATCAGCTTGCATCCGATTTACCGTGCAACATGGTAATTTTTGTTGGAGTATCTATAATTTTTTATTATTTTCTTCTCTCAGTGTATAAAGTGACAGCTTATAGGGATTTTGGCAAACTTTTTTTTTATCATAAATCCACAAGTACCCAAACTATTGGCCAATAATAAATCGCTAAAATCCAACTAATGCCGCTAAAAGACACAACGGACAGTTATCATTGAAAAAAAAAAAAAAAAAAAAAACGCATCCCTAACCCACATAGTTCAATCGCGTTGAAACTTATTTTAACCCTCGTAAACGTCCAATAATCTCAAAAATAGCAAAAAAGTTACATTATACGGAGCCATAAAGTATACTTGTACGAAATGCGACGCGTCCCGTAAAACGCTTTGCTCCGTAACACCGACATTGCAACCCCTTGCGTAATCCAAGGCAACCCACCTGTATCGTGGCGTGATTCGTGGGTTTCTGATCTTGGCTGAGCGGCGACTTGCAGTGTCCCCTGCACTGGTAAGCGTCGTAGATCTCGGGCGCAATTACCCCCATGCCGATGTCCCTCAAATTCACCCTCAACTCGGTCCTCGCGCACGGCTCGGGCTCCTCCCGGCACTTGCCCTCTTCCTCCCTTGCCTCCCGTTTTCCTCTCGACGACTTCCCCTCGAGCTGCCTCCTCGGGGCTTCCTTGTCGCCCAACTTTTCACGCAGCACCGCTCGCTCGTACACGTCCATCGACGTTATTGTCTGCTCCAGGCTCCTCTGCTTTGGCACGAAACCTGCAACCCATACGATTTTTACTCTTATACCGTGTCACTCGACATTTGTACAACGATCATCAAAAAAAAAAATACTTTGCACGTGCAACCCACGTATACGATGTGACACACAGTCACCGATCGATACTCGTTGTTAAATCCAACTGCGTTAAAGTACACGTTCAAATTTCCATTTTTTTACAACATGCGTAATAGTAGTCTTGATAAATGTTTTAAGGAAAACCAAATCGATGCTTCGTTATCTATTTCACCTGTTATATCAAACTAAAATTTTTTTTTTTTTTTTTTCATCAAAAATTGACATGAGACGGCTGTAGAGTGTAAAACATTTTTTTCGCAAATTTTACTCAATAAAATCTGTGACTGGCAAGTTTTTTCTTACTCCACAGCTTTCCTACATTGATTTTTCTCATTCAGAAGCGCCCAGTTTAATGGAACTGGTTAACCACTTGGCGGACCATTGCTTTGGTTGTTCCTAAAATTATTATCCACGCCACTACAATGTTTTTTATAAATAAACTGAGTAAATTTCAACTGTACACTTTTACTGGGATTTACAGTGCTATCACACTCTTCCTTACTACGACTCAAAACACTTGAGAAGCAGAAAAAAAACAAACAAATTTACAAGATATTTTTTTCTCTAGCGTCAGTCGCGTATGTCACCAACCGTGAGCCTTGCGTCGTTTCTCGGCCCTGCGCCTCTTCTTCTCCCTGCGGTAGCGATCCGGCCAGCCCCTGTCAACGTACCCCGCGACCTCGGGCTGTCCGGCCCCGTGCCTCTTGCTCCGCCTCTTGGCCAACCCCACCTCCCTCGGCTCTACAGGGGTGCTGGTAATAGCGTCGTCGTCGAATAGCACGAGGATCGGCTGCTTCTCCACGGGCTCCCTGCCGCGCCGCACAAACTCCAGGCGCACCACGTCCCCGAATATCGTGGTCGCGGCGACGAGCAGCCCGAGGTTCGGCGATTCCTCCGACAGCCACGAGAGCACGGCCAGCTTCACGTTGAAGACCTTGGGTGTGAGGAGAAGGTATAAAGCATCCCCCTCGACTGATCGGCAATGGACTATAAACGAGGACTCACCTGCCAGCCGAAACCGTAAGCCCCGACGTAGTGGACGTTCAGCAATCTGTGGAGGTCGGGCTCGTCCAAGCTCTTGTCCGGCAGCACCTGATACACCCGGATCTACACGACAAAGGAACAAAAAAACAATTTATTATCATCCATCGCCCGAATCGTTGTATATACCGATCGCAAAGGGCACTTACGACGTAGTAGGGCGAGGAGAGTACCGAGGGGTGCGTCAGACCGGCCAGCGATCGCTTGCGGTACAGGTGGAGCTCGGCCTCGAGGATGGACTCGTTGAGCTCGAGGCCCGACAGGTTGAACGCGTACACCCCCGCAGACGGATCCTCGGCAGCTTTACACGAGAGATTGTTGTATTTTTCTCATATCTAATAATAATAATGGGCTCTCTCTCCTGTGGCATTATTACCTTTTTCAACGAAGCTGCGCACGATTTTGGCCCCGAAGGGGTTCCTGGCCTTGGTGTAGCCCTCGGCGTCGGTGACCGTGTTGTACAGCTCCGTCATGAACTGCGGCGGGGCGGTGTCGTCACCACCGGTCCCGAGTATTCCCAGTGCCTTTTTTTTTTTTTTTTCAAATTCGAGAGTATAAGTAGACAAACACGCGATCGAAGAAAAAAAGGAAAACCTGCACCCTCCTCGCGGTACATACCTCCTTGAGCTTCTCCAGAGCCTCGAGCTTGCGGCGCTCGTCGATCTCCGACTCCCCGGGACCCGATTCGGCGTCGGTTGGTTCGAGCGCCCGGTGGGCCTTGCGCTCCTCCGAGTGGAGGTCCATGGCACCGGTGATCCTCGACGCGGCCAGCAGCAACGCGGCCAACAGTACCGCCGTCGACGGCATTATTTCTGCGGCCCTCGATCGCAAGCTCGAGCCGATCACTCAGAGGGCCACTTTTGTCCCTTTTCTTCTCTTTTTGTCGTTTACACAATTGAGAAAAACAAGAAAACTACAATTTAGGTCCCAAAGTGCACTGAACCACCATCAACTCCGGTAACAAGAACTAAGACGACGAACAGTGAAACAGAGCCGTTAAACCGAGCGTGGGCCGGAGCGATAAAAAGCTCGGCTCTTCGGAGCGGCGCAACAACGTGTAATATATACGGGTGAGGAGAGAAACCGCGGATGGAGGAGCTTTCGCATCTAGGCGTATATGGGTGGGTATCGCGCCGGCATGTGGTGCGTCTACGCCGGTCCGAGACTCCGAGGCACCTTTATTGCCGCGGCTCCCGAGCGCCGGTTATAAGGCTCGAGAGCTCCCCCGCTTCGCGGGAACTCGCGCGCGTGAAGGGGCTGTATGTATGGTAGGTGCGTGCGCGCACGCGTGCCTGTGTACGTTTGTGGGAGTGTGTGTGTTTTTATACATCATCTCAGTTCCTTTTTGCCGCGATTTATATGTATATGTGCATGGGTGCGATTATAGTGATAAGGATTGGGTGTTGTTTACCGTTGTTTTGAGCCCTAGCTTTGAGGTATACGTGGTCATGGCTACCATGGGATATGGGGTCCTTTTTTTCAGTGAGGGCGGATCATTGGCTGTTGTTTGGAAAAATAGGAAACACACAAATGGGAAAAAAGAGGATGTCACGAGGTTGGGGTAAAAATCGGTCGTACAGTTGAATACAATTATCTTGGGACTCGACAGATTATTAACAATTACCACCATGGGTCTCCCTGACGGGGTGTGGGAGAAAACTTGGGAAGAGAGGAGCTCTGTATTTATAACGTAAAAGGTGGTGGGTTGGTATAATCGATCGGAAATTTGGTTCTCGCCACGGAGGAATGTAGGCTTCACGACACATGTTGCGCGCCAAGAGTATATACAAATGTTACATCGGTGTTCTTAAGGATTCGTTTTGCTCCATCGAGTACTCGACAATAATCGTTATGCAACATATTGTTTGGGTATGTTGTACACGATAATCTCTTATGGTTGCCGCCAATTGCGATCCTCCGAGTTCGAATTCCGGATTTTCATAACTAAACATTTTCGGAAGGTTAATTGGCGCGGTGGTGGGAAAAAAAAAAAATCGGCAATGCCAAGCATCCGAGGCATCCCGAACGTTATTAATCGGCAAAAATTTGGAATCCCAATTACAATGCATAAATCAACGCGCGACACGAGCCTCGGGGGAAAAAAAGGATTTTGGATTTTCCCTGCGTTAAAATTCGTCGCCAGGCAAAGGAAGAAGGAAAAAAAAAAAAAAGAATCTGACGTGGTACATACGTCGCGAAATACCGATCCGTATAAGAGGCGCCAGCGCGCGTGCCGGCGCCAAGTGCCTTTTTTTTCTCTCCGTGATTCCCAAAAAATTTTTTTTTTTTTTTCCTTCTTCCCCCGAACCCAAACTCATCTCTCGCGCTTCCTACAACAACACCGTAAATATACGTGCATTCTCGGCACACTTCTTTTCTTTTTCGCATATTTTCGGAGGTCGTCTACGAAACGGTGATCTGCTAGTGTATAAAATATATGTATAATGTACGTGAGGCGCGCGTGTTCGGTCGACGAACCAGGGAGTACAGCGAATTCCGGGCTCGTTAAATTTGGCCTTTGATTCATTTCCCGCGGGACGCCTTATTATGTGACGCTCCTTCCCATTCTTTAATATTAGAAATTTCGCGATCGTATGTGACTTTACCGTATCTGTTTTCTTTACACGCCCATACCGGTGATATTTTTCTTTTTTTTTGCTCTTTCGAGTTATTTTGCCATACTATTTCTGGTGGATCAAATTGATCGGCCCGGTATACATGCACAATTTTCGTGAACTTCCAAATCCGCGGTTTAAAATCGGTTGCAGTCGAGGGTAAATATATTTTTTACTTTGGCCCGAAAGTATAGTAATAAAAAATCACTCGGGTGTATTACGAATCCTTTGGAAATAGCTCGATAAATAAGTACCTCCCGAAACGCTGAAAAAGTAAAATAAAATTAAAAAAAACACGTGCATCGCGAGCGAGCGAGCGCAAGTGAAATCGAGCAATTGCTGCCGGTCGTGCAATTGGACCTAAACGCGATGATGTTTCTGGAGGTTCATCTCCTTGACAGCGGATTTACTGCATTACCATGGGCGTTTTGATGTGTGGGCGGAGGCTGTATACATACATACCGATACATGTGCATATATTAATATATACGTGATGTGAACAAAACTCGGGCGAAGGTCACGAGTTGATTTAAGTATGTATTTTCAGATGCGATGCGTATGCGTGTATGGAGTGCGCTTGGCATTAGTGCACGTTTGATACGCTTCGTTTTGTAAATTGACCCCCTCACGAACTCTCTCGGATGTGTTTTGCCCAAGGCTTGATTGGTTAACTATGCCTCATCATTTTTTTTCATGTTCAAGGGAACCAATTTTTTTTTTTTTTTTTTTTTTACAAAAATTAGATTTTTTATTATTTCTAGTTATTTATGTGCTAACTTGGACAAGGATACTTTTTCCATTTTGTTGAAGTATAATTTTTTATCTTATTTAGCAAACAAATTTTTTTCTAATTGCTACTTTTAGGACGCGGTGCTTGAGTGCTTTTTCCAGCGAAAAGTGTATTACAATGTAAAAGAAGAAACAATTTAGAAAAAAAGTCCAAGTGTTTTAAAAACTGCTTGTATATTTAATTTTAGATACTTTACAAGAAACTTTAATGTACACGACATATTACACTTACTTGGTAGGAAAAATTGTTTCGCAATATTATATTGTAAATAGAAAAAAGCGTTTTAAAATTTCTCGTAATGTAACCAAGTAGTAAAAATATATTATATCTGGAGAGCTACAATCTTTGTGACGTGTAATTGGTAATACACATTTGCCTCCTGTACTTCGACACACTTAACATCCATAAACTTTGTTTATAAGGAAATAAAGAAAAAATATACGTGCATTAATTATTTTTGTGTAATCTACTTGAAGAATAAGATGGAATTTTTCATGTCAAGGAGAGGGGGGTCAAATAAAAATGCAGAGATCACTATAAGACTTTCAAAATCGGTTTTTTATACTGCCTTGTTTAAATTAACATCATGCACGTAGTATCGAGTTATTGGGTTACGTGAGTTGCTGAGTGGTGAGGGGGTATTGCTGCGATCGCTGGTAAGTTATACAACAGTAAATCCATTCCTAAAATTTATGGTCTCTAAGACTTGGTTCAAAACTTGGTTCTAAATCTGAATTTAAAATTATTCACTATACACAGCCGTTCAGCAATGTTTCCTGTAATCGTAAAAAAATTATAGGATTCTCTGGTATTCTTAGATACTGTAGTTTGATCGTGGAATCGTGGAATTTAAGTCCTCGTCAATTTGTACATTCTATTTCGGCATACCTATTTTTCATAGCATTTCAATTTTTTTTTCTTTTTTTAACCACAGTTTGAATTTTAAGTTGTTATTTTGTATCAAAGGTTACGAGGCATTGTACAAAAACTACTAGCAAAAAATCAATGAAGATGAAGATCTTGCAAGATACTTTGAAATAAAATTGTACAAAAACTTTCTTATCAGGAAATCAGTCATCTTTAATGTATGTAGTTATTTTTTCCTAGGAAAAATTTTGGGATTCCGTGCGGGAAAAGAGTAAAATTTTCTTACAAAGCTCGCTGCCGGATCCATAGGTTACTCTGTAACGTTTTTTCACGCGAGAAAGAGACTTGAGACAAACGGTTTATAATGATTTCGAAAACGTGAAAAGCAATAACCAAAACACATTTTTCTTTTTAAACGAGTTTCTGGAGGGTTGATACATTGTGAGACAACAATTAGGTTATTCGTTCTCGTTCGTTTCCTATACGATATCGAATTGATGTTTGATGGACCACAAAAGGCAGACATTTCTGGTGTTAGGAACAAAAAAGTTTGATACTCTAATGCGTGTATAAAAAAATTCCATTAAAAGTGTACATAAAATAAATATAAATGTAAGGCATGCAAGCAGGTATGGGGAACTAAAATAAAAAAAAACCCTGGAATACTAGTGGAAAATCTGGGTCCAGTCCAACTGATCGCATCAATATGGATATGGTACGAGGACTGGGATGAAACGACCGGGAGGAAGGATTAAAGATATTTGCGTAAGTCACAAACGAATGCGACGGAACATCGGCTATAATGAGGGAATTGTCAGTGCAATATCACATCGAAATATCGCTGGTAACGAGAGATAATTTGGATCTTCTTATAATGTCACCGATACCTGTGGAACAGGAAGGACGATGGATGTAGTGGCATATCCGCAGCCAACACACAAATATACATGTAGTAAGTAGCACGAGCGCAAAAAGATTCGCACCAATACCGCAAGAGACAGTGAAACAATGTGAGGATCTATGAAAGGTACATGTATGTAAACACGTGGAATCGACCCTTGCGATATTACTCATTGACTACCAGCCAATCAAATGTTTATCGTAACTCTGGAAATAATTACAATTCCATTGGCCTGTACAAACTAAAACTGTGTCCTTTTTGTCCAAAAATGTCACCTTTAGTAACGCTCCAACGAATCGGAACTTTTTTTCTCCCAAGCAAAGAATCGCCAATTAACTTTAACGTTAGCCTTCCAAGCCGCAAAGCTATACTGCGTACACATCAACTAATAAACGAGAATTTTTTAAAAATTTATTAACATTAGTTTTTTTTTTTTTTTTTTTTCAAATAGCATTTATTTTTACACATTTCGTTACATCTATACTTTATACTGTTTTTTTTTTTTTTTTTATAAACATGTACCAGTAAAATGTACATCATCGTGATCGCCCGCTTCATTGAATTTTCTACTAGATTGTTTTACAATGTCTGCATATACAATTCACGCACCGATCCAAAGGTAACTAAATCCTAACACTATACTGTTGATATACTTTATACATGAAAACAATAACTAAAAATAACTCGCTTAAACACACGCGCACTGGGTAATCTGGATGATCTCTCGTTTCTGTCCTCGTCGTGTCCTGGAAAATAAAGTTGTCACCACAACAGCGTATTTTTCGATGCTTTTATCGTAGCATTGACTTGCCTGTACTCGTGAACCTTGAACTTTGCCGAGGTACAGCTTTGCTCGCCCGTGTACAAGCCGGCCAAACATTTAATGGGGTTCGTTTTGTCTCGGAGAAGGCACGTTTCCGTGGAGTTACTGGAACAGCTCCCGACGCATTGGCCGACGTTTATGTTCTTTAAAACAAAAAAAATATGCGTAAATGTACGCTGTGTATTTTGCAATAAATCATTACTTTTTTAAATAATTACGACTTCAGTTTCCTTGCATAGAGTAGAAATTTAAACAGTGCGTTGTGATCTATATTAATATTCGAAATGATTGATTGTACTTTTTTTAAGTTTTCGATTTAACTTGTAAACTATTTCAAACGATAATTTACTTTTAAAGTTAAAAAATTTTCAATTAAAATTTAATGAAATAGATTTTTGTTCAAAGTGGTTAAACAACCAAGTAAGATTTGACTCTGTGATTGAAGATTTTTTAAGTATATTAGTTTTTAGTTAATTTTAAAACAAAGCTATTTTAAGAATTTTTATTTCTTGAGAATATCCGAGATTCTTCAGTTATCCAATTCTCATATGATGTACGTATTTCTCGATTAATCGTCAAAAGTAAAGTAAATTAGATAAAAAGAAAATTTACGACAAAAACGAGGTGATTGAAATGTGTTTTCACAATGCATATAATATTACCAAAACGTAAAGATTACATACATGTGGATGCTATCAGCTTTTTCGTACTTATCACGTGTCACTTTGAATATATCATTTTTATCATAATTAAGTAACAAAAAAACAAACATTGCAAACACAGCATTGATATTTTAACACGAGCAATAGATAAAACAATACTACTTCCGCCAGTGCCAAAATTGCGAACCACACACACTCTGTACGAACATCAGAAAATGAACTTCAAACATTTGGTGAAAAAGAATGATTCTTATTAATTACCATCCAAATTTCCTTAAAAAAAAAAAATAAATAAATAAAGGTATAAATGCTTACCCTAACATTTGGTACGGCGTCGGCGATGTTGGTGCTCCCCTTTATTTCCACGCCGCTAAAGTCCAGTATAGTCTCGTAGTGATCCATCCTGTGGCAGCTACCGGCGCAGCTGCACTTATTTATCACTTGATAAACCTCGTCACCTCAAACACAAGCACAAACAGAGATTACTGAAAGTAACAAAAATGTAAAAAAAAAAAAAAAATGTCAACTTGTGTACAGATACAGATGGAGGGGAGAGAGAAGTACAACGGAATAAATATCTGCAAAAGACATAAATAAAATGAAACAACTGAAGTACCATTCGGTCCGCGTACGCTGACAGTTGAGTTTCTCGATGGCCTGCAACTGTACTCTGAAAGAAAAAAAAAAAATCTCAAGCTCAAAGTACTTTCACAGTAGGAAAAAAAAAAAAAAAAAAAAACAAAGGATCTCACTTTTGCAAAAACCAACGCAGGCGCCCACATCGAGCTCGAACTGATAGGGCGTGCCAACGTGGAGGGTCTGCAGGTAGGCGTCGCGCTTGCAGGGATGCCCGGTCGAGCAGTCGCACGTGTCCACGACCTCGATACCCCGCACCCCCTCGATCGTCGATATTCGCTCCAGCCGCGCAGTTCTCGGTCTGCAGTGCATGTTTGGCATGCACTTCTAGGGACGAAATGGGAGATGTATTGTTTTTTTTTCTTTTCCTCTTTATACGCTCGTGCATTTTTTTTTTTCTCTTTTGGTTCTAAAAATACAAACACGTTCTCCAGCTGATGTGTAACGGGATGGCGATTAATCAAAAATTTCGTTTTATTCGTACGCTGTAGAGATACGGGGATCGTTTAAGCCGTTGGTTGGATGGCAGCGTAAAAATATGCTTTTGTCACCTCAAGCGCGATATTTCTCTCTCTCTTGAGTGGGTGTATAGGTATGCGTCTGAGCTTTTACCTTATAAACCACCGAATTGCGGGGTATAAATAACCGCAAAAAAGACGCGTGGGTGAATAAATCTACCAGAGGGTTAAAAATAAGTGTCGCTAACACATTCGCGCGTACCTAAGATTTAAATCGAGAGGCGCCTAAAAATAAAAATGACGATGATAAAAAATTATTCATACGTGAAAACATGCGTTTGAAGGATCCAAATAATTGGAAGGGATATAACTTACTACCCGAAAAAATACATGTTTAGGTTGATATTGCGGCAATGTCAAATGTTTTGCTTCTTGGTAAAATAAATATGCAAGGGATCGGAAATTAATAAGTATGATTTCCTTATCTTGTAATTAAACGACCTGACTAGCATCATATATTTTTATGTATAAAAAGCGTACATATGAATAAGTACACCGAGCTCATGTAAAAAAGTTCACTAAAATTTCAAAGCTTTGAATATTATTAAAAAATATTCCATTAAACCTTACAGGGAAAACTATTTTATAGTAGTCGCACTATCGTTTACACGATTGAAATAAAATAAAATATTGTTGTTAACAATTATCCATAGTATGAGGTTGGCCATCTTAGCTTCGGTAGTATCCGGAAATTTACTTACTTTGAAAAATTTAGTGTTTTAGGTGGGAGAATCACTTCACACAACAGAAACAATACTGTAAACTATCAAATAGTGCACAGACAGATGGTAAAAAATGATTTATAAAAAAAAAAAAAAATAGTGCTATCGATGCAAATCTATAAATTATGAAACACCCATAGGTATACTATTTTANGATATTATGAAAGTTATTGTAAAAACTTGTTATTTTGGCAATTAATGCAGCAGTCGAGTCTTGTGTACGTACACGCAAAAATGTAGTTTTTAACTACTTAGCAACGTATTAATAGGAGTATTTATGCAATACCATACCAATTTTAATCATTTTTCAGTCAATCGTGGACTTATCTTTTTAATATAAATCGGATATTTTTGTAAACCAGGCTAGACTCGAAAGAACCTTCAAGTTCTTGACAATTAATTCCGGGAATAATTATACAAAAAAAAAAAAAAAAAAAAAAAAAAAAATACTGAATTCCACACTTCCTGGAAATATCTGATATCAGTGTTGAGACACACGTATGTAAAAAAAGCACGACGATACACAAGAGTCGAAGAATTTCAATAATAAACACATGACTTCACCCACGCGATTCCAATCGTGTCTATAGATAGTTTCGTCTGGTCACGTGTAAGAAAAACTTAATGATACTGAAAACGAGTGCGTTGCTTCCGCATAAAAATTGTTAAACGCGGTCGGTAAGAATTTTGTGGTTTTCGATGATCCCATCGACACGTTTTACCACATTTGAGTTAATGTAATAGATTACTTACACATTGAATCGTCGTTTACCTGTACAGCAGGTCGACTTGGATCGCCAGGATCGTCGACAAAGTGCCGCGGACAGAAGCTCTTGCAGTATCCCGCGTCGACTTGTATCACCTCCCCGGATATCCCTTAAACCAATAATCAATCATTAAAGTAATTTTTCGCGTATTGAATATACTTACTTTTTTGTACTACTAACTTCAAAACTTGTACAACTAACTATTATGTACCCAAGTATTTGACATTTTCTGTGACGTACCTACTAATTATTTATAGGAGCACACGAGTAAATATAAAGCTAATCGATCTATGTGTTTTTTTGGAGCACAAAAGAAAAATCCATTAATCAATCCACCAGGCTATGTCCAGTGCAATAAGCCTCCTTAATCAGCTTTTGTGCATATACACGTGTATATTCGCAGTGAAAGTTGGCCCGATGAATCAGTCGGGATGAAGATTAAAAAAAAAAAAGTTGTAACAATAAAAAAAAATAAACAAATAAAGAACCGTGATACAGCGCGCCGGCGCTCGTACAGTATTTTTAGTCATCTATCTTGGGAGGCGCCAATCGTGGGTGTGCGAAAAGGAATGCGCCCTCGTCCAGGCGACAATAATGTCCTATAGATACAAGTATTTCCGACAGAAAAGAAAATCACGACACATGTTTACGTATATATTTGGAGACGCGCGTGGTCATGGATGTAAACTTGATTTGTTCGAGCTAAGGGGGAAAAGAGAAACATATTCAAATGATCCTATTAAACTGTCAGCGTGGATGTGGTGATATGGACAAATAAAATTTTAACACCAGTCGTTTGTCTTTCACGTTTAGGTACAATGAATTGATTGGTTTTTCACTGTATGTTTTTACATTTAATGGGGGAAGAATATTAGATAATTTGGGTACAATGCTACCTTACCCCCCCTATTATTGTTCAAAATTTTTATAGATGATGATGTTGGATTTTTAGAAATTATAAAGTTTTCATTACGCATGTGGAAGAGGGAATTTTCATTTTTCCACCCGACCACTTTCACAAAGAAATTATCTTGTGACATTTAAAATTTTCCAACCACATGTAAGCATATTATAACGCGTTCAACTACACTATTAATAAATCGCCACCATTTGATTTAATTTTATTTGACCTAGAAAGGGTAAATAGGTATATTATACGATGAACCTGTTATTAAGCTATTGTATTTTATTATTGTACTTACTTTATGTTACTTCACGTAAGTGTACGGTGAAGAGGGTTTTAAGTAATTAATGATGGATGATTTTGTAGTAACACACCGTCAATTTTTATTCAGATAACGTAAAATTAAGTTTTCTATGCAATAAATTCTTTTAAAAATTGGCTTAAGCATTTTTAATTTGACTCTTTATTTTTCGTTTCAAATTAAAAAAGAATCTACAGTTTGAATTAGTACCAGCTGCAACTAACATTAGATTTTTTAATTTTTTACTTTTAACTAATTATTAACTATAGTTTATGATGTACTTGTAATTATGTAAACACCTTTCATCGATAACAAAATCTAATTTTAAACATATTTTAATGAAATATAGATTAATAGTATATGCATGAGCAAAGCAGTAATAATCCGTATCGGTGTGAAATCACATAATTTTTTTTTTTAGCAAGTGATACTTTAGAAAAAAGTTATAGAAGCTGTATATTGCTGTTCTGAATGAAATTAGTCTAGGTATTTGAGAAAAGAATTTTAATGGAAATACCGAAATCTGGTTTCTTATGTCAAATGAAAAAAAAACTAAACTCAAAAAAAAAATTCGTAAATCCAAATAAACTATTATTTAAACACAAATAAAAAGTATTTATTGGAAGCAAATAATATTTATTTGAATTAAATAAACAATTTATTGATAACGTTAAATTTAATAAATTTATATAAGTTTTTATTCTATTATGATAATTTTTTTTTTATTTAAATAAACGTTTGTTTAAATTGATAAAAATTTTTTTCAGTGAATATGATAGCACTTAATAAGACAAAAATGTAAATTATCAGACGAAAAATTGACTAGTCAACAATTTTAAAAAACAATAAGAAAACACCATGAAGATTGATAATTTTTTAAAATTTACTTTTAAAAAATGTAATTGTCGTAGAAATTTGTTACCAGGCCTCAATCACGGATTTTATTGGTGTTTACCTACACCTAAGTTCAATTTTCAATTTCACTGATCTTCGAATTTCCATCACTTGATTTTTCATTGTATTCTGAGAGATCTTTTCTGCAAGTATATTTATTAAGCTTAGCATAAATGATCGGTCTTATAATGGTATTGGCGCGTCAGATTGTGGGTCACTAAACTGTAAAGTAGACACGGTGTCAGATTCGAATGACGACTCTTTTATTTGAGCTCTTGGTGTTTCTTTTCTCTGTCTCGATTTTAGTCTTTCCGCTATGGGGATTCCAAATGGTCACNTAAAAAAAAAAAAAAAAATTTTGCAAACTCAGCACAGTTTTTCCGTCGAAAGTTAACGTTCTGTTCATTTATAAATTGTTGTTTTCACATGATTTGATCTATTTTTCCGTTACTAATTATGGCTTTAGTAATTAAATATTTTAATATACATCTATGATTTGTTGATAAACATTTCATTAGAAAATTTACAAACTCTCTCGTTACATATATTTACATTTACGATACGCGCCTGCAATATAGTATACATCAATCATCTCGTTGAAACGATACGCGCGCTGGACACACACGTGATATTGTACAACACATATGTTAGAGTCACGGCAGTTTTGCGCTCATCATAAGGCTCAAGCACACAACAGTGTATATGTAGCAACAACCCTCCCTCCCCCCATACATATTATGCTTATAATGTGAACATTGCACGTATAATATCGACAGGTTGACATTGTCGATTGACTGACTCCTGAAATCCCATCAGGAAAGATCGTAATAGCATAAATCATCCCAAGGTTGTCGCATACACGCTTTATGTATGCAAAATTTCATGCAAACGTTTTTTTTTTTTTTTTTTGCATATTTTCGAACTTTGATGACAGATAGTGCAAAGAAAAAAAATAAATAAATAAATGCATCCGTCAAAGTACAGCAGCAACACAAAAAAAAAAAAAAAAAATATTTCTCAGCTCACCATGACCCACGTCGACGATTTTTTGGTGTCTGGCGCAGCAGATATGCCTCCTGACGTCTGGCGCAGATGTTGATGCTGTCTCTTGTTTTGCCGCGCTCTTATCACCAACGCTAACTGTGTACATACACATATGTATATACGTTAACATGCTAGAGGTCGCGTGCATTTTATAATCGTTTTCCCACTTTTTTCGCTCCAACGATTATTTATTTTATCGCGTTTTTAAATTTTTTTCCATGCACTGCACCCGATAAAACTAATAATCTTTTTTTTTTCTCATCGTACCAAATGATCGACAAAAAATCTGTTAACTACGATTAACCGGAAAACTAGATTCGCGTCAGTTGTAGATAATGTAAATTAAGGAGTTACCTGAACTGCCGAGTATGACCATCACAAGACCGATGAAACCGATCCAGCAGTCGAGCGAGGCAAATCGCGCCATTACAATGATATGAACACTGACACAATTTCCCCAAGCAACGCAAAGGTACCCAGTCAATGAGGTAGCTTCGGGTCGCGCTCATCCGCTCCTCTGACTCTCATTACTTTGCCGTCGAAATCAACGTCTTGGCGCATATTTTATTTTCGCGATTAAAATCCTTAAAAATCAAAGACACTCTTGGACACGGACATCATCGATATATCGGTAGAGGCGGTTCATGCGGCGAACATACTTTTTGCCGGTGAAATTTCACCGACGTGCCGTTAAGCCTCCGAGCTCTTAATGAGATGATTGTATAAAAAAAGCGAGCTGCAGTGATAAAGGGTAAAAAAAAAAATAAATAAATAAATAAATAAAATCGGCGCGGTGAAAATCGGTGCAAGTACGGCCTGGAGCCCAACGCAAAAAGACACTGGGGGGACGTCGAGCTTCGATCTCGTTTGGGGGACGATTCGGAGCGGCTTTCATTGACAGACATCAGGCGTATAGTCTATCTTTCTCTGTCCCTCGGCTGCGCTCGTTCCCCGTTTACAAGCATAATATAATATGCACATCACTCTCTTTTCATACCCTACATGTGTAATAACGATTAATCGTTGCTTTTTCACTTGCCGCTCGCGGTGAGGCGCATGTACACGTGACAAACTGCCCTACTCTCTTGTATGTACGGGCAAAGCTATACGAAAAGGGAGCACTGCGTCCACAGGCTGTCGTGGTCAATAAACGTGGTTTCTAAAGCATTGCGCTTTGACTGATCAAATTATCCATTTGAATGAAAAAATTATGCTCTTTTGAAGTAATAGCATACGTACTTTTACATGAAATTTTAAAATAATCAAACATCTTAGCTGAAAGAAGAAAAATATTGGTCCCGTTTCTTGAACCAAACAATCCATTGCCTGGATTTTTAAAACAATTTTAGTATTATAAAAAATGCTATATAGCTAGCTAGCGAATGAAAAGTTTTTCTAAAAATCATGTAATTTGCTAGATTATCTTTTACAAATATAGAAAATGTATGTTTAACTTTAATATATTTAAATATGTCATGAATGTTTGCCTATTATTTAAAAGTACGAGGAAGAAAACTAAGGCCTATTTATAAGGTTGAAGTACTACTCATCATGTATCTAAAATTAAATATGAATATATTTA